CAAACCGCTGAAGAGTCTAGTTAGACTCAGGTTCTGAACAGTGTTGTGGATAGAACTCAAGCCTATTCTGGTTAAAATGCAAGAGGCTGTCTCATTTATAAGTGTGTGTGAAATGCTTATGTCTAAAACTGCAGCAATTCTAGATGCCCACAAATGAATTAAAACAGATAAAATCTCCCTCATAAATGGGGAATTGACCGTGAGAGTGGCCTGGTTTGTTGTGCTTACATTGCTGGACGGCATAAATACACATCTGGAGGAATGGATTCAAGACAGGTGATAAAACCTATACAAAATAAGATTGATGGCCATCTCGTAGGTATGAATTCCAAAACTTCCTGCAGCTATTTGACTCTGTACAGAATTTGGTGTATGTCTAGGTAATTGTTTGACCTTGTCTGATGGTTGAGGAATTTTTTGTTGTTGTTTAACAAATATTTTTATTTAATAAGAATTAATACTACAGTTGAATTATTTATAACAATTCTGCTCATTGTATGGTAATAAAATTAATAGTAGGCATGATATATAGCTCAACATAAACAATAATTACATGTTGAATTCAAAGGTTTGGAGGCTTGTCCATATCCTTTGTGTATGTCCAGTGACTTCTTGACAATTTTTTTCAGTCCTTCACGTTCTTATTTTAACAGAGCTTCCAGTCATTCCTTTTCAGAGGCAGTGACTTGGTGAACACAGATGTCTCCTACATTCCTTTAAGGGCCACATGAGAGTATCCCAGTGGGTCTGGGTCTAACCTGGCTTCTCTTGATTATGGGATTATAGGATATAAAATGAATTTTTTTCTCCCCAAGTTTGTTTTTGGTGAGTTCACAGCAACAAAGATTAAATTATTTACAGATCATCAGTTTGGGTGGAAATCTACTAGTTATTCGTTCTGTCCTAAACTAGCTGACTCCTACAGCTGTAGTCAACAAAAGCTGACTAGTTATTCCTCAGCCTCGCACATGATCTCATCATTTGCTCTCCTGATTTGAACATGCTTGCATGGTGGCTGGAATTCTCAAAAGCAATAGAAAATAAAAACCTGTAAGTATTGTCCTCAGAACTAGGACCTACCATCAGGTTGTTGAGAGCCACCAAGAGTCTTGGAAATACCCTGTGATATTTGGCTAATGACTAAGCAAGATGTAACTCATTCCTGGCCCTGGAACTTTTACTTGGTGTCATAATATGTCTAATTGAGGCATTGTCTCCTGCATTATATACTGACTCCATATAATTACTTTCATATATTTATATTTTAGGATGCTTCTCCTTTTAGGTTTCCATAGGTTTTTTCAAAAGGCCTTTGGTGAAGTTGTCTTTCCCCATCCTCCTTCCCTTACCCTGCTTTCCTATCCACTCCCTATTCAATCCTCCTCTTCTAGTTTCCTCTTTATCCGACACTCTATTCCACTTCCACTCCTTGTGAGATCCTCTCCTCCTCTTTGGTCCCTTAATAGGTACTTAACCTCTGTGGCTATTTGGATTATAGCACATATATTGAAAGTATAAAAGCTAACATGCAGTATTTGTCTTTTGGGGTCTGGGTTACCCTACTCAGGATGATTATTCCTAATTTCACTCATTTACTTGCAAATTTTATACTTTAACTTTTTAACAGTTGAGCAATAATTTTATTGTTTAAATATATAATGTTTTCATTATCTAGTCATTAGTTGGTGGGCCTTTAGTCTATTTTCAATCTCTGGATATTATGAATAGAAGAGCAATGAAAATGAATGAGCAACTATTACCTTAACAGGCTTTAGAGTCCTTTGGGTATATGTACAAGAGTTATATAGCCATATTATGCCACAATACCTTTTAAACTAGATGGAGGTCTTGGCTATGCCTCTTTTGATCAACAACGGTGAGGCTTTCAAGATTTCTACTTTCTACCTAGTATAGTCATTAATGAGGTTTTTCTTTGTAATGAATACAAATATGGAACAAGAGCAGGTAAATGTGACCGGTACTCATTTAATGCTTTCTTTTTCTTTTAGCAAAACAAAACATGTAGCAGTCTAATTATATCTCCTTGCTGTATGCACACATGAATTCATATTGAATTTCTTCTTTTTCCCTATTATTTTCCTCAACAAAAACTTTCTGTTGCATTAGAAATTTTTGATAAATTAAAATAAACAATGTCTTGTGTTTTTAGACACTTTTAGAGTCTACATTTTGTTAAAATCACATGCTTACTCAGCTTAATATATGTACTTGACTATTCCCTGTAATTGACATATCTAAATAGTTATAGCAACCCAGTAATTATGTACCAGCTGTGTGGTATAGTCATTTCACAGATAAAACCCAATTCTCTTCGTGAGCACATGGTTTGACTTCCTTCAGGACAGACAAAGACATATTGTTATTAACATTAGCCACCAAATGTATCTCTTTCTTTGTTGTGCAACATAAACATTATACATGCTGCAGCCACCTCTACATCAAGAACTGCTTTAGTGATGCTGTTGTTCTATAATTAAAATATTTACAATTTTGATTCTTTACAACACAATAGTATCAACATAATTTAAGTGTCAAACCAAGGTTTAATATGGTTTGTTCACAGAGGTAATATTGTTTTTATTAAGTCATTGTTTTGTTCTATGGGAAAAAGTGTATTTTCTCTTTGCTGACACACATATTAAAAAAATAAGTTCTGATCTTTAGGGGAGATATTTATCCCAGTCCACAACTGTTTTTTATTTGCATCTATTATTCTCAGAATTCATTGTAAGTTCTATGGAGATTTCTCTGGTATCGAGCTTTTCATTTAACAAAGACTTAATGAAGGAAGGATTTGGATTAAGTTTCCAAAGACTTCTTGAAGAAAACTCTCAGGCACAATTTGGCAAGAAATTGAGTAGAGTGATCACATTTTTAGCTTTCAGTCTAAATTACAGGGATGATTGGGTTTTGATATGCAAATAATATATTTATTTATTTATTTTTATGAAACATTTTTTAATTTGATCATATTTTTACACTTCCCCAAATTCTCCCAAATCCTCTCTACCCACCCAATTTCATCCTTTTTCTTTCTCCAAACAAATATAAAACAAAAACAAAGATCAAAAAATCCAAAACCAAACAAAAAACAAGAGAGAGAGATACAGAGAGAGAGACAGAGAGAGAGACAGAGACAGAGACAGAGAGAAAGTTTTAGAGAGTTTGTTTTGTGTTGTCTACCTACTTCTGGGCATGTAGCCTGCCCTGGTGTAGATGGTATACCTGGTAATAGTCCATGAGAGAAAATTGGAAAATTTGTTTACCCTTTCTTAGCAGGAATCAATTGCAAAAAGCATTCTATTTAGGTTGACTGTTTTCAAATTCCTGAAATTTAACATTACCATAAGAATTTTAGTTAGGGTTCTCTCTGTGTGTTAGTTAGATAGGAGTGCCATTACAAGATGTCACAGGATGGCTTAAGACAACAGAATTTAATTTTCTTATAATTCTAGATGTAGGGCTCCTATGGCAGGGGTAGGTAGCAGTCTCTCATATTCTTCTGTGTGTCCCTACTTAGAAAGCAACTGATGTTTTAATCTCTCCTCTTTCAGAATGCTGATTGCATCTGGGTTACTTTATAACATTGTCTTACTTTGATTGCCTCTGTGAATGCCAAGGTTCCAAATTTGTCACAATCAGTGTTGAATATTTAACATTTGAGGTTTTGGAGGAGATAAATAGCCCCAGGAATTGGTATTACGGCATATGTACTATTTTGTGCTTGAGGAAAGTTTTAGAGTTTAGAGTTTAAGAAAATATAAGTATTTTCTTAAGGGAGTCAAACAATATAATTTTGTAAGTTATGCTTTACTTATACATATTTTCTCTTAATTGCTTATTTTTTGAAAATAAATTTCTTTATTCCGATTCAGTGACATGTATAGCTGTGAACAAAGTTACTATAGCTATTTATGTGCAAGTTTTTCTTTGTACATAATTATTAAGACATTTAGGTAAAATCTAATGAACTAATTTGATATTTAAAGTAAATTCTAGATATGTAGGCTATTCAGATTACAGTATAGACACAATGGTTATTTAGAATGTAATCTAGAATAAGACCTTAAAACTTCCAAAATAATTGCCTCAGTATTGATGCTATACCAAAATGTAACAATCAAAGGGGGAAATAGATGTTCTAATAATCTTGCTGAAATTTGATGAGAGTCCAAAACAAGACAGTACCCGTTGGGATAGTGAAGAGAATCTGAGATGAATGGATAGATGGTATATTCATTAAGATAGATGATAATTCATACCTGAGCAAAAGAAAAACATGAGTTTCATAGACTTGTTGAAGATGAAATGTCTCTGAGAAGATTGTTTTAGTGGCAATGTCTGGTGGGTAAGATAATCTGTAGATTGTGAGTTCAAGAGAGAAGGCTGACATCAAGGTGTATGTCTTAGCGCTTATAGTGCACACACACACATGCAAGGATAGACAATGTCATCCCCAGCTTTCAGTGAGTAAATAAAAGAGGAGTCAACAAAGGAAATAATATGAATGAAATGAAACACAAAGAAGAAAATGGCTGAAAAAAAATAAAAACATCTTTGTCATTTTGTAGGGACACAATTATAATCTTTTTATTATAAATAGTAGTAGAAAATTTTTAAAATAAAACAAGTAAGTGTAGGGAGAAAGCAGATAATTTTCTAATGAAGAATATAATTATAATTATGGTATGGTGAATAATAACAGATACATTATTAAGACAGTTAATAACAAGAATAGTTGCAAAACTACAGCAAATTGCCTACTATTATTAATTTTACGTTTACATCTGTGGTACACTTAACTAAGTATCTTTTTAAAAACTACGATAAAAGAAATACCAAGCTTACCCTGTAAGTATTCAGAAATAATTTACCATTTTGAATTGGATTTAACTAAGATTCTCTTAACAAGGAGATCATCATCTTCTGTGTTCTGAATTACTGAGAGGTTTAATTCATGTACTTGTTTTGTAATGAAGGTCATCGAACATTATTTATTGGAGTTCATGTGCCCCTGGGTGGAAGAAAAAGTCACCGTCGTCACAGGCATCGTGGTCATAAGCACAGGAAGAGGGACAGAGAGAGAGATTCAGGACTAGAGGACGGACGAGAGTCACCTTCTTTCGGTAAGCCTCATTCTCTTTGTTTTAATAATTATTCCCCCAGTGCAGAAGCCACTGTGTTTCTATGCTACCTATTCTTTTCTCCCAAACTGTTTTAGTATCTTTACTGAGGCTTATACTTAAGATCTGCTTCTTTAGGGACAACACAAGTTCATGGGCAGTCTCTAAACAATATAACTCCTTACATATAACATTTATCAAATCTCTTTAGCAGGATCAATCATTTGCCTTTAATACTATTCTACAATGGATAAAATCAAATACTCAGTCACTTTTTGAGAATGATACCATGCTCTAAACACCATCACACTCAATTGGAGACTTGATATTCTGTACAGTGAGGACATATAATAAATATTTCTATACTAAAAGAAAGCCTCAAAGAAAGAAAACCATCCCACAATCCCAGAGGATCTAGAAAACAATGAGAGAAATACATAGATCTAATCTACAAGGGTAGTAGAAAAAGACAAAATCTCCTGAGTAAATTGGGAGCATGGGCACCTTGGGAGAGGGCTGAAGGGGAGGGGAAAGGCAGGGAGGGGAGCAGAGAAAAATGTAGAGCTCAATAAAATTTAAAAAAAAAAATTTTTCAAGGCAAATCATTTTCTTACTTGCAAGTAGTCAGAGAAAACATTAGAAGATATTACTGCAAGTGCCTCAGGATTGTTCAGAATTTACTTTCCACTGGCACGTAGGATAAGTAGGAAGAACTCCAAGGTGCATGAGGATTATCTGCTGCGAATCTGGATATTTCGTGTTGCTTGTTGTAGTGTTGTACGGATCAGTGAAACAGGATAATGTGAGCTAGAATTTCTAGGTCAATCATCAATTTAACAATGTCTTTGAAGATGTGATTGAAGTTTGTCGCTCTTTAGAATTCTCTCACTCCAGTACATGCTCCACACCTTCAGATGTAATGCTACTTGTTATCTGCCTTCTGGGTTTTAATAACCTGGCTATTTTTAAAGGAAAGGCCTTCTAAAAGTGAGCATTCTTAGGACACAGACAAGTGATAGCTGCTTTAGGTTCACCAGAACCAAGAGCTGGAATGTGATTTCTTGGTGAGTTCAAAAGTGATTGTGTAATAGTGACAATGAGAATGTTTAATAAAATATTTTCTAACAGCAAATAAGGTTACATCACTAATTTTTAAGCAGTTTTAGGTGTATGTATATATGTGTTCATGTATATATACGTGTTTGTGTGTGTAACATACATGTGTGTGTGCATCCTTATTTTTCTGAGACAGGGCCTCTTAGTGAGCTTGGGGTTAACTGGTTTGTAGAAGGCCTGGACACTGACCACCGGGGCTCCTCTCAGCATCCCTGTGGTGCTGGGGTTATTGACTTGTGCTGTCAGGCCTGGCTTATGTGACTGCTAGGGATCTGAACTCAAGTTGCCGTGCTTGCTCAACAAGCACTTTACTGACCACTCCATCTCTGTCCCTTCCTTTAGATACTATAGTTAACAAATAGAGTTTTTATAAAAATGTGATCTAAATAGGTAATACTCCTTTCTTCTCTAGCAAATGGGGATGTTCAATTTTTCGTTGTTAGTTTTAGTGTCATTCTTACTATCTTTGTATAATTTAAAGTTCTGTTTTTAAGTAAGACTATTAATGAGTATTTTAGAATGACCAGTTTGAAAAGTGATTTTTCTCCTTTAGCCTCTCAAAGAATGTGACAAGAAGATTAAGAGGATTATGTCAGTTACCGCTGGTTAATCTATAAGCAGTAGAAATAAGTTTGAAAAAAATAAATTCTATTATCCAGTTATTTAAAATATGGTACACAAAGATACTGTATATAATAACACCATTTTGGGATTAGTCAGAGGACTTTTCTAGGTTTAGATGGCCAGTTGAATGCACACTTCAGGATAAATGGAGGAGATATAGAAAACCTGAATGCAAAGAGATATTTTTTGATAAGTTATAGTTTTTTGCTTTTATTTTAACTCCTAATTTGGTGATAGATAATAACAAAATGTTTTGATTTTTTTTATTTTTCTATAGTATACTAGCAGTATTCACAGGCACTAAGACATAGATTAACACTTGCCCAACTCCCTGAACTATGACTCAGAAACACCCAATTAACAACCAACTTCCTGACCCCAGAATCCTCTCTGCATTTTCCAGATCACTACTCTTATTTCTTTAGGAGAATCTCTCCTTCTTCCTAAATGGAGTATTTTTCCAGTTCTTTAATTTATATAAAGAAGATCCTTCAGCAGGCCCTTGTTCAATATTCTTTTTATATGACTAATGTTTTTTTTTTTTAAATATTTATTTATTGTGTATACAGTGTTCAGCCTCCTTGTATGCCTACAGGCCAGAAGAGGGCACCAGACCCCATTACAGATGGTTGTGAGCCACCATGTGGTTGCTGGGAATTGAACTCAGGATCTTTGGAAGAGCAGGCAGTGCTCTTAACCTCTGAGCCATCTCTCCAGCCCCATGACTAATGTTTTTGATATAGCTTTATTTTATTTATTTTCATTATTATGTAGTAAAAATGTACTTTTGTATATTAAGCATCTTACTCTTGATAGAAATTTAAAGTGTTGGAGCAACTATGGATAAAATCATGTGGATACTTCTATTTATGTCTGTCAGTTCACATTTTTTATTCATGAGTCAGATTGGTCGTTGCAGCACTATGGAATGTGTATTTTTCAACGTTAGCAGGTAATACCAAATACTTTCTCTTAACTGGGTATGTGTTTACACTCCGACTAACAAAGCATGAGTACTTATTTCACTTTACTCTTTCAATTAAGAGTTGATAGTGCTGCTGTGTTAATATGAAATATTCTAGAAATATGAATAATAGCACCTCATTGCTTTAATTTACTTTTCTTTGCCAACAATTGAATTGGGAAAATGCAATTGCTTCTTGATAGCTTGCTTTGTGAAGTGACTATCAAAGTTACATGTTTACAATTAGATTTTTTTCTTACTGATATGTTGAACTTTGTATATTAGGAACATAATTACTTTGTTGATTTTTCATGACCCAAATAACTTCTAATAATTAGGATTAATATTTTATTTATTTTGTTATGATGTCTCCCTATTAATCTCTAATTTTATTAATTTAGATTTCCCTCTCCATCTTCTAGTTAATTTGGCTAATTGTTTGCCAATCTTGTTGAAATTTTTAAAAGAATCAACTCTCATAGACCATTTTAGTTTTTGTTGTTGTTGTTGTGTTTTATTCTGTTTGTTACTATTTCATTGATTTCAGTCCTGATTTTTTTTCATGCTTGTTTCTTGATTATTTCTCTCTTGGGAATTATTTCATGCAGTTCTAATGAAATATCTACAATTTTATGTAGCCACTTGGTATGAACTTCCCTCTTAGAACTGCCTTCATTATGTCCCATAGGTTTGGGCATGTTGTGTTTTCAGTTTCATTCAATTCTAAAAGTTTTAAAATTTATTTCTTTATTTCTGTTTTGGCGTATATTTTATTCAGTAGTAGCTCTTCATTTTCCACAAGTTTGTATCCTTTCTTTTATTTCTATTGTTGATATCCAGCTTAATCCTTGGTGGTCAGATAAGATGCAGAGTGTCATTTTACAACTGAGACTTACTTTGTGTCCAAGTATGTGGTAAGTTTTGGAGGAAGTTTCACAAACTTCCTAGAAGAGAGTATATTCTTTTGTGTTTGGATAAAATACATGTGTGGAGGTCTATTTTATTTATGATGTTATTTCACTGCAGAATTTCTGTTTATTTTTTGTCTGGGTGACTCATCTATTGGTGAGTGGGGTATTGAAATATCCCCTTATCATTGTGTGAGTGTGGATATGTATTTTAGCTCCAATAGTTTTTCTTTTATTAATTTTTGAGCCCTTGCATTTGGTTCATAAATTTTTAGAAGTGCATTCTCCTCTTGGTGGATTTTTTTCTTTTATAAGTGCCTAATGTCTTTCCATTGCACTTCTGTTCAGTCTTAGTTTGAGGCATGTTTAATTACATACTAAGATGACTGAACCTACTTGTTTCTTGGGTCCATTTGCTTGGAATAACTTTCTCCATTCTTTTATTCTAAGTTGATTTATATCCTTGATTGTGAGGTATGTTTTTTAGGATGCAGCAGAGAGTTAGATCCCATTTTCCAATTCAATCTCTTAGTCTGTGTCTTTTCATTGTGGAATTGAAACTATTAGTACTGAGAGATATCAATGAGCAGTGTTTATTGATTCCTATTATTTTTTTGATATGCTGTGACTTTTGCCTTCTTTTGATTTACTGTTCTGGGATTATGTATTCTTTGTGTCTCAACACTTGTGATTTTGTTTAATCTGTTATTGAGACTTACCTCTGAGGTTGCTGTTTGACATCTTATATTTTTTGTGACCAGTCTTATTTCAATTTGGATTTACTTTAGTGATTCTATTATTTCTTCGTTAAATTCTAATTTTGAATCTTGAATTGTTTTCATTATTTCACTCATTAAAACATTAATTCATAGCCTCTTTTAGGTCATAATTCATATTCATAATAGCTATTTTGAAGTCTTTGTCATGATTTAGTTATTCTGCACTTCTCAGGACCTACTACAATAGGTAGCACCGGGTAGAGGGATATTGTCGTGACTCTTCACACTTGTGTTTTTGCACTGGTGTCTAGGCATCTAGAGTAAGGATGTTTGAGATGTCTCTTGATGTTACTTTCTCATATTTTCTTTTGTTTGGTGGATAGTCCAGTCTTTTGTTGTTGTTGCTAGTCTCTGGATCCTAGACAAGTGTAGTAACTGTTGGGTCCTTGATAGTTTTTGAGTTCTAGTCCACTGCAGCCACTTGGGGGATCCTGGAAGAAAATGTTGGTGTGTATTGGTGGCTAACACAAAGAAATGGAGATGGACTAGAAGAGAAGGATAAGAAGGTGTTTTGGAAAGAGCTAAACTTGGTCCCCACCAAGAAGCAGAGTATGAAGTACTCAAGAAGTAGAAGTATGGTGGCAGGAGGGGCTCCTAGAGGCAGGAGGATGAAGGATAAATCTGTAGAAACAAAAATGAAGGGGGTAGGAGGAACCCGGAATTTATGTTTTAATTTCCTTATTGGCATATCTTCATATCTTCATAAAAGAATACTCAGAGGATATTAGTCTTTAGGAAAATTTCTCTGTGTTGTCAATTTTACTTCCACTGCATATTTTAGTAAATATAAACACAGATTCTTGATCTTACTTATGCTATATATCTAGTTCATACTTCTTTGTTATATTTTGCTATAAACATATTTTATAAAACTGTTGACTGAAGATTATATTATAGTAGCCTATGATTTCAGAAACTACCACAAAATCAATAAATACCAATATTTTAAGGAGAAAATTAATTTATATTTACTTAATATTAAGTAAGAAAATTTTTCTTTTTGGTAGGATATATATTATATAATATTTTGTACTACTTTATAAAGTGTCTAATTCCAATAGATAAAAAACAGGTATTGGATAACACATGTTAACTGTCTATTGGAACAAAACTCAAATCCTTTTTAATCATATCAAAGTACTGTTGAATGGTCATGAAAAGAATTTAGTGAATAGAGCATAAAACCCCAAAAACAATTTTTATCTTAAAAGAATTAAAAGCCAGAGAGAAGAAGTTATTTGTTATTTTGAACTCAGTAAATAGTATCCTTTATTAAATAGACTATACTCATTTAGTAAATTGCTATTTTTGAAGCATTTAAACTATGAAGCTATGATAGACATATGTCCTTCTGTATGATTTTCTTCCTAGATACCCCATCACAGCGGGTGCAGTTTATTCTTGGAACTGAGGACGATGACGAGGAGCACATTCCCCATGACCTTTTCACAGAACTGGATGAGATTTGCTGGCGTGAAGGGGAAGATGCCGAATGGAGAGAGACAGCCAGGTAAAGATTGGGGTTGAGACAGAAGGACCTCCCACACCAGAAGTGAAAGAATATAAATTAGGTCATCAGAAGAATAGAGTCCCAGTGCCTCGATTCTGCAAGCGTTTATGAGCTTTGCAGCTTTCTGAACTTGCTCATCTGGCCTGGGCAGATCCTCTCCTGGGTTTTGGGTCAGAGTGACTTCTGAAGGCAGTAATCAAGCAGTGATGCCGAGTAGCTACAGCTGCGGTCTTAAAGATAAACAGTAACAGGACTTGTGTGCTGTCGGGACTACGGTGGAAATCAAGTCATTTGTTTCCATCTCTCAACTGCTGAATTACACTAAAACTGCTGCTATCATTTGATAATTTCACTGTGGAGCTTTTTTTTTGTGATTTTTTATTGTGTATATTTAATGAACACAACAACACACTTATGGTTGTGTATAAATCTTTGCCAGCACATAAAGACAAACGAGTTTGTGTATATAAAATACACAAATAATCATTAAATTACATGTATATTTCTGGAATTCTAATTTATTTTTTTCTTTTTTTAAATTTATTTCTTTATTAATTAATTAAAGATTTCTGTCTCTTCCCCACCCCCGCCTCCCCCCTCCCCCCCCCCCCCCCCCCCCCCTTTCCCCCCCCCTCCCCCAATCAAGTTCCCCTCCCTCGTCAGCCCAAAGAGCAATCCAAACTGCCTAGGCTCCCACAAAACCACTGTGGAGCTTTTTTAAAAATAAAAAGTGAACACGAAAAGAGGCTTTAGTTACACTCTTCAATTTCACGTAGTATTTGGTGAAGAATAAGAATATTTTATCCTGTTTTTCTAGGATAGGAATACATTAAATTGAGTGTTTAATTTTTTTAAATGTCTTCTGAAAATCTTTTTCTATCATTTGTAATTAATATTTTGATAGTGCCATATAATTGATGAATTACTCTAAAAATCATGCATTAAATTTTATGCCTTTAATTAATTTGTGCTCTTTTATACTTAATAATTCTTATTTAATATCATTTATGGAGTATTACATGGAATCTAGGACAGCAGCAGCAAGAACATTAGATCTTGCTTTCACTAATCTCACAGTCTAGTTTAGACACAAAGATTATTTGGAAATGTTGCATGATGAATGCTTTGACTAAGGTATGCAGAGTAATTGGTAAATCCTAGGGATGCCCTTGGTCTACTGCTCTCCAGATCTGTATGTGACTATGACTCACCTGAGGCCTAAATAAAATGTAGATTTTGTATAAATTAGGCATAGAGTCTCAAGTATTTTGTTTTTGTATCAGAAGTATAAATTTATGCAATCTTTTAATTTTCCTCATTGCTATAAACTGAACTTCATACAGTCAATACTGATGGAAATTTAAGTTTTTTTCCAAATAAAATGTACTATAATGATTCATTTCTTTATCAAGCTTCCATTTGATGTGATATAAAATCCTTTAATTTGAGGACCACATTTCTGATGCGAGAACCTTTACTGCAAGAGTAACTGAGAATGGGGTCACACTGGATGGATTGCTGCTAAGTGGACTCATTTTTTTTGTTTTGCTTTGTTTTTCTACTATTTAATTTAATATATTTTGAGATTTTCATTCATGGCTATTGTATTTACATCATACTAATATACTCCCTCTTTCTATTCCAACTCCTCCCATGTAAATACAGCAACATAATTGAGATTTTTTTAATTTTGAGATTATAATATAATTACAACATTTTGTTCTATTATTTCCTCCCTCTATAGCAATGGCTCTCTTCCTTCCTAATGCTATGATCCTTTAATACAATTTCTCATATTGCAGTACACTGTAGTTTTGCTTCTGTTATGAACTGTAATTTAAATATCTGATAGTGATTCCCAAAGGATTGCGATCCACAGGTTGAGAACTTCTCTAAACCCTCCCATATTCCTCTTCTTTCTCTCTTTAAAATTAAGTAATTTTTTTCAGTAATTGTTAATGTATGTATATTTATATGTGTGTGTATACACACATATATCCCTAAATATAACATGCTCAGTCTCTCTATATATAATATATATAATATGTAATTTATATGTAACATTTTATGTGTGTGCATAACATGCATATATGTAAGCACACACATATATGTGTGTTTTCAGGGATGACCATTTGTTATTGAATAACCACTCATTGTATTCTTCCCTGGAAAAGACTATTTCTCTATCATTATTCCTTATTTGCCTGAAGTTATTTGTGTATGGTGTAGGCTTCATGGGCTTTTCCCATTTGACTTTGACATTTCTGTTGGTTTCTGTGTTCAGTTCATGTTTGGTCAGTCATGTTATTGAGACTGTGTGGATATAGCTTCTGATATTACTAGGAGATACAATCTCACAGAAAACTTCCTGATTCTCTGGCTCTTACCACCTTTCCCCCTCCTCTTTCACAACGTTCGCTGAGCCTTAAGTGAACAAGTGTTTTGCCAGTGTATCCCCAGGGACTGTGCTCCACACCTCTGCATTTTGACTAGGTATGTTTTCTGTAGTGGTCTTTATCTGTTGCAAAGAGTTTTCTCGACAAAGTGTAAAGACTACATTTATCGGTGGGTATAAGGACACAGGTTTATATGCTTGTTAGGGACTAGGCTGGTTTAGTAAATCGTGGTTGTCAGTTTTCCTCCAAGATTCCTGACTTCACTAGTACTGAGTAGTTAGCTAAGCTCCCCATAACAGTCATGATTTTCCTCTTGTTTATCAGTTCTAGAGTCCTTTAGAGAGCTGCTGGTCACTGGTAGTGTATGCACTATTACTGTACTGTCAGAGTATTACTGTCTTGTGATTTTCTTTACTTTCAATCTTCATAATAGAAATGAGAATTGAAATTGAAACTTATATTTTTGTCTTGAGTATCTCTTTGTTTTTAGAATTGTTGGAAAGTTTCTACTTTCTAGATCATATAATGGCCCGTTTCTTTGACTCAGAAATCTGCTTATAACTTTCCCAGTTTCAGAAAGCTGGCAAGTGGCAGAAGGAACATTAGAAACGTCTATCACTCTCAGAGTTGAGCAGGCAAGATTTCATCGTGCTCTAATAGAGTGACTTGAATGATGTGCTCATCCGAAATGGCCAGAGTGTGTAGCTCTCTTAAGGAATAAGAGAACTGATCTAGTTAATTATTAGCATTCTCTATTAATACTGGGTAGGATTCATATTTATGGCTGCACTTTTAGAGTCTGAAGCATGTCACAGCTGTTTGAAGTTCATGGAGACATCTGATGAACAATCAGAATAGACATTTAAGAAAAAGGTGCGTGTACTTTGGCTGAGAAGCATCACTTCAAGGAAAACAGAATGTAGCTATTGGAGATTTAAATTCTACTGTGTTTTAAAGTGACAGAAGTAGCTTTGTTTTTGTTGCCTTTGTTCATTTAAAAATAATCTGAGTTAATTTATGAATCCATCTGATTCTTCAAATGCAATATAATTCCGTTAAGTAATTTATATATGCTTTCAACCACTTCTTTCTTTTGGTTGGTATTCTAGGTGGGATTATTAGCTTTCTACTCTAATAGCAAAAATAAAAATATATTTTACCAGCACACTGCAGTTGTCATACACCACACATAGATAATTTATAGATATTACTTTTCCAACCAAAACTTGAACAAAGTTTTAGATTTAGAAGTTAAAGTTTTGAATCTTAACTACTTAATAAATGTTTGTGAAAAACATCTGTTTAGTTAAAACCATGAAAGGCTAATGAAACAGCAAAATTATAATGTCACACTTAAAAATAACGTATGGTGGTATTTATAGACAGTGAGCAAAGCTACCACAGTTGTGCAGTCATGGAGGCAGCAGGCTTCATTCGTGTTTGCCCTTTAAAAATACTTTTTACAAATGAGTCCAGAAGGGGCCAGGTAGGGACTAATACTTATGTCTTTGATATTTAAAGGTAGCACAGAAAAATGCTAGTACATCAAAACAATGTTTGATGCCATGAAGACAATTGATATTCAAGATTAATAAATATTCACATCATGTGGATTTTTCAGTAGAATGTGAAGTGTAAAGATCTTAGGATTAGTACAGCTCTGAAAACATACCTTCCAGTAACATTATACAGACTGAGCAGATTGTAGTCAAGTATTTAGGAATATGTAGGTGTATATATATATATCTTGTCCATCTATGTATGTAACAATAACTAATGAAGAAAAAAGGCCATGATTTGAAAGAGAGCTAGGGGGAATATATGGGAGAGTTGAGAGAGAGGAAAGGAAATGGAGAAATGATGCAATTATATTATAACCTAAAAAAATCTTAAAAGAAAAAAGTAGTGCCATTAAACATTAAGTTTTGATACTTTATTTCTCCTGTAAGATGAACTGTTTTACATGATTTTTACTAATCCTACTTCAACTCTCTTTAAAGTGAATGCTTTGTTTGGAGACATCTTGCTTCCTCCAAAGCCATAATTTTGGAACTGTAGTGCTCCTTTCTATTTGACAGAATCAGAGAATAAAACTTCCTAAATGTTGAGCTGTTGGTGTTACATAACGCATGCCGAATTAATTTCTTTAGAAAACTTCTGTTGCTGAATGGCAAAAGAATTTGCTTTGTGTATTTTAATACACAATACAAGTAGGGCAGATTTTCCCCAATTTAATCCTCAAAGTATTCACGAAACACCTATTTAATGTTAATTATTAGAAGAGAATTCAGTGTGCTAATCATGGGTCAGAACAGATCAAGACACACCAAGGGGATGAAAACAGTTTGCTCAGGGTGTAAATCCCTCACCACCGAGAGAAATGCCATGTATTTGGCCTACAAATTTTATATTTTATTATTTGTATCATCCGTCAAGTTTACTTCATGATCTGAGACTCTTAATTGCTTTGGCTTTCTATTCAAACAAATGTCAGTGGAGTTTATTTGAAATAATTGACCCACTAGGTTATTAATTATAATAAGACATTTTGCAACTTATCATAAACTCAAGAGCTAAAATTCTTGAAACAGGAACTGGGGTGTCCTAATACCTCTTTATCTGCATATTTAAAGGATAAAATTGGATGAAATACAGAAAACAGAAATATATGATATGTATTATTTTTTTAATATAGTCTCCTTAAAACATTCATTTAAATGTCTCTTAATGCTTTTGGCATCATTCTGGAGTTGGCATAAAGTACTGAATCTTGAAAGTATGGTATTTTTAGTAACTTGATATTTGTAGCGTGTATGCTTCTTTTATGGAAAGTGCCTTCTGGCTTCTCCCATAATGTTCACAAACCTATGGTTCCATCAAACCATCCATGCATGTAACTTATATTTGGTCATTTTAGCTACTAAAATGCTTAGAGCTTCCAAGACTCCATTCCCTTCTAACAGAAGCAAGCTCTCAGTTGGAAGTATTTAGTATAAATGAAACAATATAGCACTTGGATTTGTATTTTAAATGCCATTTCAGATACACACACAGATCCATGGACTGAATCAAAAAGCAAGAAGTAGACCACCATGTGTAGCTAATTGGTTTTTGATATTGTACAAAATATATAAAATAAGAAGTAACTATTAATGCTCAAAAGCATGAAAATAAATAGGAAAATGTGACACAGTCTAACAAGTCTAACAAACTCTTTTGGTTACTATCTGCTAATACATTTGATTTTTCTGTCTAGTTTTTCTCATGGAATTTTTATCCATTAAAGTTGAGTCATCTTATTACATAAACAGCAATATAATATCATATAGAAATTTTGTGTATTTTCTTTTGCAAAGAGGAAGGATGGTCAAAGTGATAAGGACAGAGTCATGAATGAAGGAAAAGGAAGAGGAGAGGGAATTTAGGTTAGAGTTCATCAGAAGTGGTTGAATTAACAGGTCCTCTGTTAAGATTAGAGAGCAAGGCCCTAAAGCATTGAGTAGCTGATGCCTGAGTAGTAAAACCATTAACTCCCTTTATTTTTCCTATTTGTCTTGATTACAGATGTTCCTAGATATTAATGAGTATTTCTTTCACACTAAGTAAGTAGTAGTTTCCAAATGGCTCCAGAGTTTTAGCTTCATCCTTGGCAGGGATACCTATGGAATGATATCGAAACTCAATTCTTGGATGTCCAAGCCCTACCACTGATTGTCATGACAATCATAACAAGAATTTTTCCTACACAATACATCTCAAACTGCATAACCATCATGCACATTTCTAGGACAAATTATCTTTCTAAAATACTGAGATTTAAGATTCCCAACTCCAGAAAACACTGCTTATTCTTTCACTTTCTTTCTTAACTACAAAGGTTTCCATAAAGGAAGGTGGCTTCTTTACTAGTCCTACCAAAGTGATCACTAGTAAATTATTATTAGAAATACTTCTGCAGAGCTACAAATATTAATAAAAATTGAACTTTTCTTTGTTTTTAATAATCAATTACAATGAAAATGTTGGTTTAATCAAATCAAAGAAAAGGCAACAGTAAATTTGACTACTTTTATCCTTATTTCCTCAACCCACAGAAACAAGAGATCTTTCTTTTTATAGCCTTTACTTTTCAGTTAAGGATAATTCTTCTACATTGTGGTATTTAATATATTTATTTAACCACCTTTTGGTACAGGTGGTTAAAGTTTGAAGAAGATGTGGAGGATGGAGGAGAGCGGTGGAGCAAGCCCTATGTGGCCACACTTTCCTTGCACAGCTTGTTTGAGCTGAGAAGCTGTGTTCTGAATGGAACTGTGCTACTGGACATGCATGCCAATACTTTAGAAGAAATTGCAGGTGGGGCTTTCGTTTCTTTACTTTATTTAATTCTCATAATTTCAGCTGCTTTTGTTATCCCTTTTCTCATGTCTGTGTAAGGGACATTGAAATAATTTTCTCCTTTCCCTGTATTTGAAATAAAATAAATTGAATATAAGACAAACCTCGCCTCATTTACATATAGTGATTGGTAACAAGAAAATAGTCAACTTCAATATTTTCTACCTTAATAGTTTATTTAGAAAACACACAAACACAGGAGATTAAAAGCTAACTACATATATTGATAGCCAGTGTCAATTTTCTAAAAGCTAAATCATTTTTCTTGAAGGATCCAGATCCTACTACTTTATGGATGTATAAAATCTGTAGAGCTAGTGCTTTCTAGACATTTGTTATATATATTGTTTTTGAGTGGTGGAATATTTTATATCAGTGTTTTTATTTTTCATCAGATTTTGATATGTTTTTAACAGAGTCAGATAATTCCTTAAAGAGATTTTGTTAGACTTAGTAGCAGAAAATCCTATTTGTATCTGGCAGGTCTTTTAAGAATTTCTGGTATAATTAAAGTAGGATTTTCTTTTGGAAGAAGTTAATTTAAAACATATCTATTTCTCTGTGTTTCAGGGAACTCAATAAATCCAAACTTCATCCCTCAAAATATTACTTAACCTTTTCAAATCCAAAAATCTCTAGATATATTTTCCTACCATGATTTATTCTGATGGGGAAATTAATTATGTCAAAATGCTTCCTACTTATATTCATATACATTGTAGGCAATTTGTGGTCTGTGCTAATCTCTTAAAACTCAGAATTATAAAGATTAAAAATGGAAATATTCTCTTTGAAGTGTGAATGCTTTACCCTGATTCTGTCAATGAGAGTTAGAAGGAAATTAAAACCAAGATGAAGTTAGTATCATGGACAAATTATCAGTCATAACTCATTAAAACAACTTTTGCTACTTAAATTTTTCATTGGAGGTTAAATTAATAGCTTACCCCACTGAATGAAAACTAAAGACTGGTATGGGAATCCAGTATTAAAAATCAGGTTCATGCCAGGTGTGATGACGTACAACTTTAATCCTACCCCTTGGGAGGTAAAGACAGAACTATTTGAGTTTGAGGCCAGACTGGCCTTAATAGTAAGTTCTAGACCAGCCAGGGATATATACTATGACCCTGTAAAAAAAAAAAAAACAAAAAAAAAAAGGCACAAACTGTTCATATTATGACAATCCGTAGTCTAGAAAGTTAAGTATTCTATTCCAGTGCTGTTAGAGTTGGCAGCCAAGAAAGATTACCACTTCATATTCCCCGCTCTTACCTCTGTTTTGTTTTTTGAAAGTTAAGGCAATAGGTTTCAGAGTATTTATATGGTAAATTTGAAGAACACAGAGGTTTATAAAGTTTTTGCAAAGAAAACCATGCCTTCTTAGTGTTCTTGGTAATCAGGATGTGAGGTACAGCAATAACCTCACTGGGACTACAAATGCTTCTTCAGGTTTCAAGCATTTTAACACAAGCACTGTAGGTTTTACGATGTTCTCATTTATCTTTTTGCTTCTTGCTTTTTTTCTTAACAAGATCCTGGCATTGGGCTTTGCCAGGTTCTCTATATTGTACATCATTGCCTGCTGAGTTGTGAGGACTTGACTCTTGGCCCAAAGCCATCATGGTTCATTGTTCCTAACTTTTCAAGTAACACTGATAAGTATTAATGTTTGGAAGAGAGCACTGTATGTGATGACTAAATTCTATGCCTGTCTCTGGTGCTCACTCCACAAAGCTTTATTTTCAAGCAAGAAGAGCAACCTTTCCTGTTCACTAATATATTCTGTAATGTCATTGGCTTGTGCCCAAGAGGTATGGCTAAGGAATAAATGAGTATTTGAAAAAAAATATGTTTTACTTTCTTCTCTGTATCTGTTTGAGATAAATCTTATCTCTCATTAATTGCAAAGCTGGAAATTAGGGAAATTTTTTAGTGTGCAAGTAATGTGGCTCAATGGAATTTTAGTAATAATTTTATGAAATGTATGGTTTTAATATGATAACTTTAAGTTATGTTTAGTATACAAGACGGGAGTCATAATATTTTATTTCTGGATCTGCCTTAAAATTGTGTTATATTAGTGTTTTATTAACTTCCTTATAGCTTCTACTATTATATATAAAATACAGATTTTATATACATTTTCTGTCATAGCAAGTTTTCAAAGTAATGTCTTATGTTGACAGTTCTTTAGTTCCTTTATTTTGTTTTAATTCAGAGATGTTATAATTACCGATCTCCGAAGAACTGAAATAAGAATTTGCATTTCATCTTTTAATGCCATGCACTTTTCAGAATTGAATGGGACTTTTAATCACAGTGGATGACTTCCAAATACTCCACACACATAATATTGCCAACTCCCAAATATTCATCTCTAACTTCTTTCCATTGTGAACAGAAAGTGACAGAGCAAACTATACTCTTTGTTTTTAATATGGCCCACGCCCTAGTCTTGTAGGCCTTTTGATCTGAGATTTGGGACATTTCACATGGCTGCAAATGAAAAGGAAAAATCATTTATCATGTAAATTGTATGTAACTCTAATTTCAGTAATCTTTAGAAAGTTTTAATGTAGTTGAAAGGCAGAGTTGGGTAGTTGTGACAGAAATCATTTATCATCTGGCTCATGGCCGCAAAAAACTTGGCTAAATTACTCAGTTCTTGTACAAAATCTATATGAATTTCATCTCCACTGACAGTGATTGCTTCATGTCAGTCATATGCAGAATGTCCATGCCAGGTGAAAATGATCCTTTATAAAGCAAAGTGGCAAAAGCTAATCTGTTTCTTACTGGATATGGACAAGGGTATTTCCTTGTTGCTGCTGGCACCACATTATGCCCATAAAGAGACAAGCTGGTGGCTAAAGTACACACCTATAAGAAGAGGAAAGATACAGAGAATGTAACTGAAATCAGGCTCATTGTGATTTTCCTCTCCTGCAAGCCAATCAGATGAATCAGTTTAACAAAGGTGATTTGCACTTTTTGTTGCTGAGCCTAGTTGATGCTGCTATAACCTGAGTGTGTTAAATCCTTCACAAACTTCAGAGATTTATACCCTGATTAATGGAAATTGCAAAGAAAATCCAATACTGGGAAATTCTTTCCTGATCGTCCTCTATTTGCTGATCAGTGCATGCAGGGCCTTATATTGTTTTTCTGACTGTGACATATGATACATATATTGTTACTTCTCTCTTACAAGTAATTCTGTGATTATTTAGCTTTGTGAGGTCACACAGCTAGAATGTTGTAGAGTGTTCCAAGTCCCTCATCATTGTCCATTTCTATTTAGTACAAAAAGAAAGCTCAGTATTATAAGGGAAAAATTTGCTAATATTTAAAGGTTGCTAATATTAATGGCTGCAATCCACTGAATATGCCAGCAAGAGGCAGTTCTTTAGCATCTGCTTTGAACCTAGAACTTAATTTTTGATTTTTCTGAAGGCAGACTACAGTGAGGTGATATTATTTCACTAAGGAACTTCAAATGCCCATAAAATAAATGTTCATTTATTTATTGGCATTCTCGATGCGATGCATAGAAAATATCAGTGTACTCAGTTTAGTTTTCTGAACTTCTATGTTTTACAGTTATATTTTTTTGTTACCTAACACATTCTAAGGTTACTACTGTAGTTCCTAACCTCACTTTGAGGAATCAAGAAAATTATTCTCCACGAGAAAATCATAGAAAACCCACATTAGAATATGTGTGAAGCCAAGTATGTGGCTACTACCACCTATAATGTGAGTTCCTGGGTGATTCAAAAATATGGAGTATAAGTTTGAAGCTAGACTGGATTGCAAAAAGGGATTTAAATTAGTTACTGTGGTTGGCATTTTCTGTTGTTGGAAGTTGTACACCCAACTTTGTAACTACAGTTAAATGCTAAGTGTATTGGAGCCTTCGCAAATTTCCAGAGGAGCCCAATACCCTATTTAATGGAAATTGTGTATGTGTGAGAGTGTGTATGTGTGTGTATGTATGTGTGTGTGTGTGTGTGTGTGTGTGTGAGAGAGAGAGAGAGAGAGAGAGAGAGAGAGAGAGGAGAGACTATAATGAAATTATTTTCAATCACAGACATATTAATAAGTTTGAGATTATTCTCACTATATCCCTACCAATCAGGACAAATAATGAAAAAATAACTTCCTGTAATAAAATCTAGTATATTTGAAAAAATAAGTATTTAAAAATGAGTGGTTTATAATGAAAATTCATATTTCCATGTAGCAATCCTATAAAAAAATCAACATTTATTCAAAACATCGTACATTGAAGTTGTAGCCTATTTTAGTATGAATAATACTCAGGTGTCTGTTTTTAACAGAAAAACTGTGCTCCTTGTCTCCTCTCCATCTTCAGATATGGTCCTTGACCAACAGGTCAGCTCAGGTCAACTGAATGAAGATGTACGCCACAGAGTCCATGAAGCCCTGATGAAACAGCATCATCACCAGAACCAGAAAAAACTCACCAACAGGATTCCTATTGTCCGATCTTTTGCTGACATTGGCAAGAAACAATCAGAACCAAACTCTATGGATAAAAATGGTAAGTGCTCTTTTATATCTTCTGTATGACCTTGAAGTGTTGAATTGTTTCTAAATATTCAAAACGTTTTATTTGAGAACACTTTATTGAAAGTCATATTGTTTCAGTAGATTTGTGTGTGTGTGTGTGTGTGTGTGTGTGTGTGTGTGTGTGTGTATTTTATATTGATCTTAGTTTCACCATCCTGATGTGGAAATCTTAACAAAGAACTTGTTTCTAGAAAAGTTTCTGAATAAGTAAAATAAACCTTAACTAATACCAACTTACAGAATATAAACAGATAAATAGAACCCATAGCTGAGAAGAGTGACGCAATGGTTCATGTTGTAGCAGTGGCTTCTGATTAAAACAGTAATGATCACAATGTATTTTTGTAGAAAAGGAAGCTTTCCCCCCTCTGGGCCATAGCTAACAGATTTCATTACCAATAATAAAAGGGTCCTGCAGCTCCTGATGTAGCTCCACCTATCTGAAGCCTATTTTCTGCTGTTGAGTTTTCACTGCAGCATCTTAATGTGCAAGGAGCCTCCTCACCATCTTCACACAGCATCACACTTGATCACCATTATTTTCTTGTAACCCTATTTTTTTATGTTGTTTTCTTCTTGGATCTATTTACATTAAGAAATTGCTTCACATTTTCTTATCATAGTTTTGTAAAGGAAAATGAAGTTACCATGAGGTTAACATGAATTTGTTACTCTTCTGTCAGTTGTAATTGAGTTTTATTTCTAAAAGACAAAAATTGATGCCTGGGATGGAGCTGGGTCAGTTGAGTGCTCGCCATGTATTCTCAGTACTCCAAGTTTCATCTGTAGCAGGAGTAAACTGGACATGGTGGTACATACCTATAACCCCTGAATTTAGGTAGAGGCTGGAGAATCTGAAGTTCAAGGTCAGCCTCCAAGTTCATAGAGTGTTAATGATGAGCCTAGTATATGAGATACTGATTTAAAAACCATGTAAAAGGTGAAAATTCTTTCAAATTACCTATTAAAGCTACTGACTTAGGCAAATAGACTACAGTACATGGATTGACAGCACAGAATATTTGTGTGATTTTTTTTTCCAATTTCAAAAGTTTCAGAAATACTTTACAACAAGATGAAGATGAGTTTTCTTTAGAATTTGTATTATGTGGGAGTTTTTATTCTACTGAGTCAAATGTACACAAATCAAATACTTCAATGAACAGGCCAGTTTTGTTTTAGAGTGTCTTGAGGTCATTAAGTACATTAAGTCTCAAGACAATGTTAAATAATAATGAATTATATATTTCTATGAGGGCTGAAATCAATAAAATAGAAACAAAGAAAACATTACAAAGAATCAATGAAACAAAGAGCTGGTTCTTTGAGAAAAATCAGTAAGATAAACAAACCCTTATCCAAACTAGTTAAAAGGCAGAGATAGAACATCCAAATTAACAAATCAGAAATGAAAAGGGAGATATATCAACAGACACCGAGGAATTCCAGAGAATCATTAGGTCATATTACAAAAACCTGTACTCCACAAAATTGGAAAATGTAAAAGAAATGGACAATTTTCTGGATAGTTACCAAAATTAAATCAAGACCAGGTGAAAAATTTAAATAGACCTATAACCTACAAGGAAATAGAAGCAGTCATCAAAAGCCTCCCAACTCAAAACAGCCCAGGGCTGGATGGTTTCAGCACAAAATTCGACCAAAACTTCAAAGAAGAGCTAATACCCATACTCCTAAAAGTGTTCCACATAATAAAAACAGAAGGGACATTGTCAAACTCTTTCTATGAGGCTTTGGTTACCCTGAAACCATACAAAGACTCAACCAAGAAATAGAATTACAGACCAACCTCACTCATGAACATGGATGCAAAAATACTCAATAAATAATGGCAAACCGAATCCAAGAACATATCAAAAAATCATCAACCATGATCAAGCTGGCTTCATCCCAGAGATGCAGAGCTAGTACAACATACGAAAAAAATCTATCAGTGTAATCCATCATATAAACAAACTGAAAGAAGAAACACATGATCATCTAATTAGGTGCTGAAAAAGCATTGAATAAAACCCAACACCCCTTCATGATAAAGGTTTTGGAGAGATTTTAGGGATACAAGGAACATATCTAAACATAATAAAAGCAATATACGGCAAGCCGGTTGCCACCATTAAACTAAATGGATAGAATCTCAAAGTGATTCCACTAAAATCAGGAAAAGTTGCTTTTAAAGTATTTGTCTGAGATTTAGGTGCTATGAGAGAGGTGTATGTTCTGTTAAAAATCTGTGTGTGCAAAGTTCTTTCTTTGCTTTTCAGGAAGATTTTTATCTTACTTTGGTCACTGCTGCCCTTTGGTGTTCTCTTGTTTTGTCTGTTGCCTCAAGTTTCTATATTGACTCCATCTCTTTATGAAAATATATTATCTTCGACTTATTACACATTATAAAACCAACAAAGACAGTTTAAAGTTTGTTTTTTAAACTTCTAATAAAGACAGAAATGAAATATAAAACTGTCTTTAACTGAACGTAAAGCATTGATATTACATAGATGCATATATATTGATGCATATGTGAAGTTCATTAAAAGTGTTTCGAGCTTGCTATGACATATATCAACTTATATTAGAATATTCTATTGACTATTTTGAGGATGTAGAACTCACATTGAGACAAATACTATATTTAAATTAATTCATATTCTAAGTTATAATTTAATTTAAAACATATAATGCATTTTAATGTGAAATTGAAGATTTTATCATCTGAGATACAAATGTAGTGTTTTTTTTAATGGAAACTTGAGGACAATTTTATTAGAGTTTAAGAGAGACAAACTGTAAATTCTGGCAGCTGACAGAGGAGGATTATGGAGAAGAAGAGGGGAAAACCATGCTGTTGATGTTTTTGTTGTTTTTACAGTGCTCATATTTATTTGGTTGGCCAATGTTAAAAATTTTGATAAGCAATGTTAATAATTTTGACAAAAAGTTTAAGATACTAGATTCTAAAAACCTTTATAAAATATCCCATGTTTTAATTAATCCCATGTTTATGTTCCAAGATTATGGGGACCTTCTGAACAAATAAACTTTGTCTTCACTGCTTTTATTGAAAATCAGATAATAGCATACAGATAAAAATAGGTTTATTCAAACAGATAATAATTTTGTATGCTGCAATTTCTGTAATTTTTACTGAGGTTAATATTTGTATTTGAAAGTTTCATTACATTTTAGGGTAAAGGAAAGAAGGTGTGAGATTTACTGGACTGATCATTTATTATCCTTTGTAGACCTGCAAGCACTGTTGCTGATTTAACTTTTGCTAAAATTCAGGAGAGAGGACAGAATTACAGCTGTGATTCCCAAGGCTATGTGTAGATTCAAGGTCTACAGAAAGTACTTTTGTTTCCTTTGTGAAATGGCTAGTTTTTCTGAAAACTAGGATCTGAGTGACTCTGTTTCCATTTCTACAGTCAACCTTTATATGAACACATACAAATCTTTCCAGGGCATGTGTTAGGGTAATAGAAACTTGGAAGCACTTCTAATAAGATTCATACACCCAATTAAGTATTGTTGTGCAGCATCCTGTCAGCAGTAGTTTCTAAGCTTAGGCTTCTAACACCTCCTCATAACTCTGTTTTGCTTCCTCACACACTTTACATAATTATGTGTGTTGAGAAGTCTGAAAATATGTATAGACTTCAACAATTTAGAAATAAGGCTCCTACCCACAAGCGAAAGAACGCGCGAAAGACCTTTACTACTAAGGTTCTCAATCTACTCGTGAACCCTGCACACTGACAAACTCAAGATAAACAAAGAAATTGGAATCTATAAGCATAAATATAGAAATGACATTCTGTTTCAAAACATGATTAGAGACTTAATTTTTATGTTGAAAAGAGATTTAATGGAGTTTTAATGTCCAAAGAGCTAAATGTAATATCTTTTTTTTTTTTTTAAAGTCTCTTCAGCAAAGTGTTTTACTCAGAAAGATTGACTTCTCCTCTTTTAAGGTTATAAAGTCAAAATACTTGAAAATAGAACATGTTTGTATTTTAAACTACAAAAGAGGCAAAGATATAGAAATAAGTTCTCTACCTTTGTATAATGTGTTTCTGATTTAGGGTTAAAAATTAAAATGCACTAAAAAACAAAGCGATATTTGCCCAAAGAAGCCTAAAAAACACCTAGAATATGTTTCTGTTCCCTTTATTGAATTGCTCTTGGGGTATGCTAACTTACTTGTTCTCTCAAAGGTTAAGTCTCTAGACACTGCATTTCAAATGTAGGTCTTCCATGTTTCATATATTGCATCAACAAAATAGCTTATTATCTTTCTCTTCTCTTTCTCGGTATATGCTTTCTGTTTGTATTTTTTTTCTTAGTCATTTATGATAATTTGTGAATCTCATCTACAAATACACTGATATATATGTACACATTACATGTATATGTAAATATTGTTGGTGTTCTGCACATTCTCCTCAGGGCTAAGACACAGGATGCTATGGATTCACCATGCATTTCTAATGCCACCATGCTGTGTTTAACTTTCACTTTTCATTAAGCATCAAAACTGTGAGAATTAAAATGACTGATTCCGATGTTTCAATAAGAAGTGACAGTTACATTTGGCAAAACAATTGCAAAAATAATAGAAAACAGTATCTACTTTGACATTAGAACCCTGTAAAGTGTACTGAAATGAAAACTATCCATACTATTCAAGTCATTCCTTGATTCTAGAAATATTTTTTCGAACACAAATGTGACTTGTGTTAGGTGATCAATAAATCAAAATAAATTAATGCTTATATTATGAAATAGGACAGGCATTCTCTTAACACATGGAGAAATTCATATTGCAATTCTATTGTAAAATTATGTTATTTTCCTGATTTCATGTTTTTGATAATTCTTGGGCCTCATGGCTTCTGTAGTATGGGGCATCTCATTCCTCCATCATTACTATTGATTTCTAGCTCTTCTTCTTTTGCTTCCACATCTTCCCTCCCTCCTAGTTAGAACACTTTCCAATTGCACGTTTTCTGGCTGCAAAATCTGAAAGGGTTGCAGGGCTTCTATTAATTTCTCTAAATTACTGTTCAAAATCTTAAGTGGAGAACATTTAGATTTAGAAGGATGGGGTATATGTTGAGTATTTTGATTTTGACCTGGGTAGATTGCAGCTCCTATGTTAATGATGTTTCTTTGTTTTATTACCTTAAATTAACTTTTATTATAATGCTGTACTTTTATTTCTAGATGCATGAGGTCTTTATGTTTAGAAATTCTTTTTAATATTGTATTATCATAAATAAGAGAGCATGTAATATTTATCCATCATAATGGTCTACATTAAAAGAGAAAGCTAGAATATTGCTTCTTAGTATCGCTGGACACATAGCACATTAAGAAATTCCAATATATGAAAAATGTTAAAATAAAATTAAAATTATGTTAATTATACATGATTGATGTGCCTGTTTAAAGGCTGTGTTATCATTGGGCTATGGAAAATTGGTTTTTAAGAGCAAATATATTTCTAAGATAACATATTTAAGATTTTAATTTTTCATTTGAAAATAATTATTTCCAGACATAACAGTTTTTAACAATTTTAATTGCATGCATACTCTTTCTCTTTTTGAAATGTAACTCACCTAGTCATAATTTTCTAAATATTTATCTTTCTTTCTCCATGTTTTCTATTTCCATAAATAAGTGTATTGCTGCACATGTATGTAACTTTGTCATTCATCTCTATATTTCTTCATTTTGCTCTGTCTTGTGTCTGTCTCTAACAGGCTCATCTCATCTCTGTACCTCCCTCATCTCCTACCCTTTGGGTACTCTAAATGCGTTGAAGGTTCTGAGGTAGTGTAAACCAGCTTGGACTCTAGGATAATAGTACTGTACTTCCATGTCTTCATCCCAGTTTCCTTCTAGTACATGTGATTTAGACTGGATTAACCAGTAGCAATTAATGATACATGTTGGTAATAGATTATTTAATGATTTGAATTAAACCAGATAAAAATTTTGAAACTGCTTTTATATCGTTCATGCACACAGTTTACATATATGAGAGAACTGTATGTAAAGACTCAAATACAATTCAAAGAAAATCAAACAGGTGCTAATATAAATGCTATATACTATACACTTAAACTTATATATATGAAACAAATTATATTTTTATTAAAATATATAACCATATTTTAACAGGTAAATAAGTAATGTAAATGAATTAAAAATGAATGTTGAATAGAAAAGATGATGTTAGATTTCTCAAATATTTACACTTCAAGAGTCATAGACATCAGTTTATATTAGTGATAATATTTCATCAAGCTTTGAATAATTTTCATGAACTATAGTAAGAATAGTGAGTTGATATCTGTTTCATCGTGGTATCTTAATGCCTTGAGATTTACATACTATACTAGTAAAGGCAATCCAACTTTGTGATGCCATTTGATTACAGTAAGTTTCCATATGGACAACGGGCAGTGGACAAGGGGAGGAATTAGAAGGAGACAGGCAAATATTCGTTTGTAAGCATAGTGTCAAAGTAACTAGAAACTTCTCACAAGCCAGCAGAACTTGCAAAGTTTCCAGTACCCGAGTGCTGATTTCTGACTTGTTTCCCCCGGAGAGGAAAATATTCTTGCAAATTCTTCTCTCTTCCATTAGAAAACAGTCACTATGCCTGAGAACTGTTATTGTATGAATGACATTTTTTTTCATCACAGAAGTCAATCAGCCATCATATTAGAGATGCCCTTCCCTAAATTTATTTATTCATTTTATGTGATAGTATTTGAGTTTATGAAATGCCTTTTGGAAATTAAGCCCATAATCTTCTGAAAGGTAGTGACTGTTGAATTAAATAAGTCTTAAGCAAAAAAAAATGATAGTGCACTACAAAATTATGAAAGCTATTTTACAGTCTGAGGAATCTAGTAGTATTATAGACTATTGCAAAGCATGCATTTTAGCTTTATGTATATAACAAGCAGTATATGTTTCACCTGAAATCTGTAATTTTCCTAACTATCATAAGCCAAGCTTTTTAAGCTTAGGTCTTAAATGATACCTACAGATTCTCAGTACCCTGCAAATTTGTCAAAACTACTTTGTTTATATTATTTTACTTTAATTATTCACTGTATACTTTAGAAGTAACATTACAATTTTAAATGCTATTTAAACTTTGAAGGACTTTTGAGAGTGACATATAAATTTATGTATCATTCTAAAGTATAGAAGATACATATACTGGGGCTTCTGTACCTATATCAGAAGATATCTGTACTATAGTACACATTTTCCAGACATGTCTGTACTCTGGAAATAGCATGTACTTACTGCCATCTAACATGCATCCTGCTTGATATCCAGAACTAGGTCACTATTAATATCATTTAAAATATTCAGAGAAGTAGTTTCTAATTCACTTCCTTACTATCAGCTTTGAAAGGTAATATTTTATAATTTTTAATTTTAAAATAAGAATAGCATAGAACTGTAAATATCTAAATGTATCTATTACAATTATCATGTAATAGCAACACATTAGAAATCACAAATACTTACAAAATGAAATGTAAGTGCCAATGTTTAAATGTAGTTCATAACCTGAATATAATTTATGAAATATTGTTCCTGAAACATATGAATGAAAACAGCAACTAGATTTTTCAAATGACAAGTTCTAGCATATTTGCTATCTGATAATCTCCTCAAAGTTGATTTTGCATTGGCTTTACTCTTTTGATATGTTTTCTAACAGTTTTAAGCAATTGATATTTCATGTAGTTTCTGACTATATGACAAAAATTATTATAAGAAAACATATCTTTATTTTTTCTATAACTTGAGTCTTATCTCTCTATTTCACAAAATGTTTAATAAATTTAGTTTTAAATATATTTAATGCTCTAACGCATGAAAATATGGAGAAATGTTGTGAAACTGGTGATTGAAGACATCTGTTAGTAGCACAAATGCATTATGTAAAAGGCTTTTATAATAAGTTATTATTTTGAGAATGGTGAATTGAACGGCTGCTGATGAACAGTTCAGTTGTAGCTCCACATTGCAGGTAGAGATGGGAGAATGGAAAGCTCACCTGACTTCCTCTGAAGGATGCACACTGCCTTGAGTTCTGTATTCAAAAGTCAGAATCTGTGGCTGTGGTTTGAGGTGAATTTTCTTTAAGATGTCACTTTGTCTTTATCTTTACAACATATATTGTTTTTCTGTGTTTGATGGAAGCAGAAAAATGTTAAATGTTAGAAGAAAATTAAATCTATTACTTTCTGACAAAGTTATTTTTATCCAGAAATTGTTATCTATGAAAGGATGATCTTTTACTGACAGGTTACTAGTCTAAGCAGTAAGATTATAGTATTTAAAATAAATAATTTTGTTTTTGATCATACTTGATGATCAGGGAAAATTGATTTTTTTCTGTAACTATTTAAAGGAATTAAGAGAAGTTCAGAGTTGTAGCAATCAGAAAGTTTGAGAATAAAGGTGAATTCTGAATAAAACTGAGACTTCAGCATGGAGAGAGAGAAGTTAGGCACAAAGAGTACTTCTCATGCTTGAGAACAGTTAAAGGAAAAGGGATTTTGAAGCCATTGAGAAGAATGTAAACATAGTAAAGGCTTCAACATTGAATTTTTATTACTCGTTTCACAGTGAAAGTAACAAGTAGAGATGGGCTCAGGATAGGCAGGGGAAATTAATAAACCAGGCTACTTATTATTTGATTGCTAACTCTGGCAGATTTCAAAGGATTTGTGCTTTTAAGGACTGCTGCATAGTGAATGGCGGGCATTATGTTTTCTAGTTATTGTCACATTCCCAGCTCGGTTATCCAGATAACTAACCTCACCTTTCATACAAGGATGGAGAACTACAGTGTATTCATTCGTATTTTCAATAATGCTCGTGGAAAGCTGTACAACTCTAGTCTAGTGATCTTAATAGCAGATGAGTGGATAATTATAGTCACAAGATCTCATTTTTTTAATAAGTTCCACCTCTAAATTTTATTGCTAAAGTACATAGTGATTTTGTTGAAGTACATAAAAATAGAACCTAAAAGTATGCTGGACAGTTACTGATATTCATCTTTTCTGGTATTGTCAAAAATTCTTCAGAGCTTGGAGGTTATGCCTTTTTTTAATATGTGCAATTGGTTTTAATTGATATTTAGAAATCAATGAACTTTATGGTTAAATTTAATTAAGTTTTGAAGGCAGCTTCTCTTCAAAGAGAATAACCATTTAGAGTTTTAAATTGATAATTGACTTAAATATTCTTGATTGACTTCTCCCATTTCTATCTGTAACTGATAATCTCCACATTAATATAGTTCTGTTTAACTGAACGTTCATGCTTACATCACAAGCTTATTAAAAAATTCTACTTAGTTTAGTTAAATTGAAGTTCATCTTTCACCCAGTCTGCCTAGAACCGTGTAAGTAATTGTTTGTATTCTGTAATAACAATCTCTTTCAGCAGGTCAGGTTGTTTCTCCTCAGTCTGCTCCAGCCTGTGCTGAGAATAGAAATGACGTGAGCAGGGAAAACAGCACTGTTGACTTCAGCAAGGTAAGTCTTTCTTTATTTCACCTAAGTGGCTAAATTGCTAGTAGGATTTGTTACCTGTTGACACAGCCGTCTGCATGCCTTTATTTGGGTTCTTAGCCAAAGCTTTAAATTGTTATAGACAATGTTAGAGTTCAGCTCACATGCAGGGCTTTGCTTATGTGAAAAAACAGATGTGTAAGTTTTATGAATCATCGTTTGGATTCAGCCACTTGTATTGTATCTCTTGAAGTAAAAAGGACAACTCGACTTCATAGAGAGCATAATCTGTTGCTTTAAAATATTTTTTAGATGTCCCCCTTCAAAAATTCCTATTATATAGAAAAAAGTCATCTGATATAAATCTTTTTTTCTGATATAAATCTTTACCATTACTGTATAATGAGAAGTCAGTGTAAGGATACCCTAGAAGGTAAAATAACAGAATTTGAATAAAAACATGCCTAAGGGCTAATTATGTTGAGAGCTACTTGTAGTTGGGTTTTAGCTAAATAAAATAATTCATTTGGATTTATACTAAGAAAATAATGAGTTACTGAAATGAAGGGACTTCTGGCTGGTGTATGTGCTACAGTGGCTGTGGCTAAGTAACAGCTGAATAGAACAGAGAAGCTCCAATATTGGTCTAAAATCAGGATGTTGGACGATTTTCTCTGAGTGGCTGATAAAGAAGTATTGCTTTGGTAAAGCCCTTGACATTAGCAATAGGGAAGGGAAGTGGAAATGGATTTTGGTCTGAGGAAGTAATCTACATCAAAGTTCTGAAAAAAGTAATGGCCATCAGCACCTTGGACCTGTTTCAGCATTCCTGGGATATGCGTACATGAGCTAGGCTAGCTATGTGCATGCCTTTCCCCTGGTGCCTGGTGGAGAATTGTGGGAGCATGATGTACCAGCTTAAGTCTGTTAATTATGCGTGCAGGGACTGGGAGGCCAGCAAAAGGGGCATACTAGTCCATGTGGGATGAAACAAAGGCATGAAAAAGGACCTCCACACCAGCAAGAGAGAGAGGTGAGGGCATATTTGGGCTCTATTTCTACAGCAGTTCAAAGCTCATTTCACTGTATGGAGGCATGTAATTCAAATATTAAACTAGTTTAAATGTATTCCATCTGCCACTCTAAGAATTATATTTTTAAAGCATTATATCATCATTCATCTGTAAGTTATAATAAAGCTGTCACAAACTTCCATAAATTTAATTTTTTTCTGTTCTTAGTTCAAAATAATATCAATCTTAAAAGTGATGACATAAAACTTGACTGTCTTATAACAATGGAATAGTTGACATTTTTCAAAAACAGTGAGTTTAAAATATGTAAATTGTCCTTGAAATTAATTACTTTTAATATTAAAAACTTATACATTGAATTTCATATATCCATGTTATTTTGGAGTGTTTGGTAGCCTATCTTCATGACCTTCAAAAATAATGCATCACCTTTAAAGAGAAATGGAGATTGCCAATTAGACAGGACAGTAATCTCATCCCTAGGATGCCCTGGCAATTGGAACCATAGAAATGGCAAAACTAGGTTTTACTCTCATTTAATCCTTTCTTTCATCATCACATTTTCACTTACTGGCCCATTTAATGGGGAAGTTTAGGCCAGCCATCTGCAGCCCTCTGTCTTTTGTTCATCAGAAAGAACACGCCTGTGGAAGGCTGTATGTCTAGCATCTATCTTTTACGGCTTTTGAAGAAGCTCTCTACACTGCAATATTACCATTGCCTAAAATAATAATGTGTGCTTATTGTTTTGTTGTAGAGGTTCGATGGTATTGCAGTTTGTCAGACTGAACATAAAGTGACCACTGTATTAAGAGTGTGAATGGAAGTGTCAAAAAAATTTCAGAGCACACTTAACATGCTGGCCTCCACTGGATCTTCAGTGCCTTTAACAACGTTTGAGAAAGATGTTTTGTGAAGCAATCTTATAAGATTCAAAATTGCTTAGTCCCTAGTTTTAGACCAATAAAACAAAACAGGAAGCATTCCTAGTTTTATAACCTGGAGGAGCAGAGAATTAGGATTTGGAAAGCATTGATCCATCACTGTGGAAGTTATTCTTAGTGCCAGATTCTGAAGGGGTGCAAGTTAAGATGTCTTTAACCTAATGATTTCAGTTTACTGGTGGATTTTCTAAAGTTCAGCTAATCTCCACATTACTGTGTCCATTTCAGTATTTTCAGTAATGTTGTATAGATCCTAAATCTCACTCAAAAATTGAGACATTACAAAGGCCCTTTTCACTTTATGTAAATTGATCCTGCGTTCTACCATTGCTCAGTCTACACATCTTTAGCCTCTACAGTGTTTAGGCCCTCCAGGTTTATTCAGTTAACATAATCTGTTATGTCAGATTATGTCTCTTTCCACTATGCCTTCAAAAAGCAGGTGTTTCTAAATAATATAAACCTCTTTTTTTGTTTTGCTTTGAACACAATAGAAATGGCTCTTTTTTCTTTTCCTTTTTTTCTTTTTTGATTTTTTTATTGCACGCTACATTTTTCTCTGCTCGCCTCCTTGAAATGGCTCTTTTAAGTCAACAGTGATTCTTGTATTTCAAATGGTCCTAAAGAAGTGTCCCATAATTACCCACCTGGAAAGAACCTTTCCTTTTTGCATCTTTGTGCTGTGCATGAAGCATATTGGGAGTAAGAAACTTTAGTCATATCGTTTAGTGCAAAAAATGGAGTCCTAGAGAACTTACACGTGCCACCTGCTCCAGACTGCAGTGTCAGGCACCATTTGCCTCGAATGAACCCTCGTTAACTATCATGCTTTTAGTAACAGCTTTTTAAATTTATTTATTTATTAAAAATTTTCACCTCCTCCCATCTTCCCATTTCCCTCCCACTCCCCCCACTCCCACCACCCTTGCTTTCCAGTCCTAAGAGAAGTCAGGGTGCCCTGCCCTGTGGGAAGTCTAAGGCCCTCTCCCCTTCATCCAGGTCTAGTAAGGTGAGCATCCGAACAGAGTAGGCTCCCAAAAAGCCAGCACATGCAGTAGAATCAAAACCCAGTGTCATTATCAATGACTTCTCAGTGCTTTCTCTTTATTTCCACCTCCATTTCTTTCAGCTCTAGGTGTGTGCCTTGGCTGGGTATTTCCAGCCCCACCATGGTTTTCTCTTTTATCTAGTTGCCTAGAGATGAACTATTTTCATCAATAGTTTAAGTCCTAAATAACTAAAATCAGGCTTCTTTCCCTTCATGGTATAATAGTTGGGACCATAGAGTCTAGAAATATGGTATAAATATACAACTCCCAAATTGTAGCTTGACTCCTTGAAAGTTCTCTTCAAAGCACTTGAAACTTTCAGTATTTTTCTATGTCCATTTCAAGTGTCTGAATCCACTATGGGAGTGTCTTAGGAAGGTATTTTTTTATGGATTTTGTTGAGCTATACATTTTTCTCTGCTCCCCTCCCTGCCTCTCTCTTCTCTCCCCTTCAACCCTCTCCCATGGTCTCCATGCTCCCAATTTATTCAGGAGATCTTGTCTTTTGCTACTTCCCATGTAGATTATATCCATGTATGTCTCTCTTGGGTCTTCATTACTGTCTAGGTTCTCTGGGGTTGTGATTTGTAGGCTGGTTTTCTTTGCTTTATGTGTAAGTATTGTAACCTAGACCCTCAAGTACTCTTTTTGCAACTATAAATTAATACATGATTAAATTTGTGGTTCTTAAATACAGTGTTTTGTTTTAATAAGAAGGAATATTGCTAAATGAGATTATTTATGAATTGTGAACTAATATAATAATATAGGATTATTCTAGGTATAATTTAATCTGAAAATATAAATAGGATTAATGCATTATAAAATATAACACCTTTCATAAATATACATGTAGTGCAGAATAATATAAAATAATGATTGCAATACAATGATTGACCCCAGACACGTGAATGTAATTTATTGTATTTAAAATAAAAAGAAAACTTTGCTGATATTGAAATAAGATTCTGCATAACTTATTGTAGGTAATAAATATCAGTTATATGTCTTGTTTATTGTGATTTAAAATAATATATAATGGTCACATTTTTGTTAATTAAACTTCTTTAATATGCTATGCAATCCTTGACTCAACTGAATTTCAATTTAAAGCAGTTAATTCTATTTTTGCCTCTTCTCTGAGGTACAGACTTTAATAGCAAATACTTTGATATTGGTTGAGTTAAAAAAATAAATTTGAAAAAAGTCTTCTGGGCAGAATTTATACTTCAAGCATTACCAATAAATTTCCTATTAATTACAAATTATCTGTTTTTATTTTTATGTTAATATTGGCATTGCATCCGTGTCTTTGTACGTGCATGCCTGTGTGCACGTGTGAGCACTCGTGTGCGTGTGACGGTGCTTGTGTGCTACAGTGTTTATGTGAAGATTAGAGGACAGTATGCAGGAGTCAGTTATCTTCTTCCATTTGGATGCAAAGGATCAAACTCAGGTCTTAGATTTGCCAGCAAGTGCCTGAGCCAACTCACCTGCTTATTGGTCTTTGTAAAAAGTTATGCCATCTTTTAAAGTTTTGTTCTATTTGTCATAGATTTTTCTACATGTTGATTAAATTTAGTTATTTATTTTTTTAAACTGTGAACATTTTGTTAAAAGGTTGTTGCATATTTCTCACAGAGGTAGGCGTGGCTAGATGGAGGCTAAACATGAAGAGTAGCATTCATATTTTTAACACCCACATAAATAACGCCCTGTCAATCACAACAACAGCAAAGCCCAACACATACAGTATATAGCAAACCTTGATCCTTTTCCTGGAATCTTTCCCATTATGGCAAAAGTTCAGACATTACTAATTTAAAGCATTTTAAATATCACAATAAGACTGTGAATTAACCTTGCTTTCTACGAATTAAAAGGTTAGATTCTACAAAAGCAAAATACCTAGCATGCAATATTCATTATACATACGAGAAGAATTTATACATTTATGTTGGTGTATATTTATAGAGAAAAATGTGGAGCATGTAGCTTATAATATTTGTGAAATATTCTTTTTATGCAAACGTTTATTTTTGTAAATGATTCTTTAAGATAAAGTATCACTATACTATTGGTGGAATGCCGCAAATCTTTATTTCTAGTTGTGGCCTTGTTTTTCAGTGCTGGAGAGGTTATGTAGAGCTGACCACATGCTAGGCAAATGCTCTGCTATTACAGTTATATAAATTTCTATTATATTGAATCCTTTTAATTAAATCTAGCTAAATATAACTGTATTGCTGTGTTTTATTAATTTAACAGTCATAGTTTACATATAGCTTATCAGGTGTCTTTAAATAGCTGTACAAATGCCTTAATTTGATAAACATTTTAAACATAATCATTAGACTATAGCTATGGATTTATAAGGTGCTTTTTAAATTCTTTTATTTTTGAGATTATAATGTAACTATATTGTTTCTCCTTTTTCTTTCCCTCCACCAAACCCTCCCATATAACCTTTCTTGTTGTCTTCCAGATTCATGTCCTTTTTTTTCATTAAATTTTATTAAAATGCATATATGTGTGAAATATAGGCTGCTCAATCTGTATAATGTTATTTGTGTGCATACAGGGTATGTTAAAACGTTTTATTGATTTAAAACTTCTTTGAATAGTATTTTCTAATTTTTAAGCCTTCAAACTAATTATCTTGTCTATAAATGTCTTCCCAGCCTCATTGCTATATGGCAGAGCTCTCTCTCTCTCTCTCTCTCTCTCTCTCTCTCTCTCTCTCTCTCTCTCTCTCTCTTATTCCCACTTTCTTGGTCCCCTTTTCATTAGCATAATTGCATAAAACCAATTGCTAGGGCAGATAAACTCCTAGTCCCTAAAAAACAGCGTTCCATATAAAGCAACTCAAATGAGTTAGAAACAAGAAATAGGCCTTGCAGATTTTACTTTAAAGCCACTGTTTCATTTCCATTGAAGCCCCATGCATAAAAATGATATGTATTTAAAGACTCGTCTACATGCATTTTTCAGACATCACCCTTTCCTCTTAGCGTTTCTTTTTAGTGGTCCTTTTTTTTTATCTTCATTCATTTAAATCACAGACATTTCATAGTAGAAATTCAACTATGGATCTACAGTCATTTAAAATGCTATTCTTTTAACCCATTTTTTTCTTTATTCTGTCATGTCTCAGTTGTATGAACAACTTCAACTGAAGAATTTCTCAGGCCAACTGTACAATATGAAAAACATAACACAATTTAGAATTTAGAATGAAAACAAATGTTAAAGTTATATTATACTATAAGAATATATTTATTTTATATAAAGATATTCTTTATATATATTTATTTTATATAAAGAATTTTATATATTGAATATAAAATTCATTTATTATAAAATATTAAATTTGTTGATATTATAATTAAACATGATTAAAACATTTACTTGTGATGCTCTCAGGTTGATCTGCATTTTATGAAGAAGATTCCTCCGGGTGCTGAGGCTTCAAACATCTTGGTGGGAGAGCTGGAGTTCCTGGACAGAACTGTCGTCGCCTTCGTCAGGTTGTCTCCGGCTGTCCTGCTCCAAGGCCTGGCTGAAGTTCCAATCCCAAGCAGGTAAAAGTATCCAAGGAAGTTTTATGCTTATGGAATAATTTATCTTAGGAAATGGTAATGTTTTAATAAAGTTTTCTGACAAATCCTTTACTAGAAATGAATTTATTATCCATAAACCTGTTGTCTATTGCTTATAAATGTGGGAGGGGTGCTTTAAAAACTACTGTGACCTTCCCGTCTCCGTCTGGAACTTCATATTTCATGCTCCTCATCTGTAGAATTCAGGTCTATTTTACATCTATTCTACGGTTTTTCAAATATTATATTGAATTGTATGTTTAAGGAGAGGATCTAAGCATGTAGTCCCACTGGAGAGAATCATAGAAGACTTATTTTCTTGGATTAGGCCTTCAAAATCTATGGAAATGCCTGGTTGGAATCTAGTGTTCATGCTTCAGTACTAGGTCATTTGGTCTCCACTCTCAGGGTTTGAAGAATCATTGGTGGTCATCCAATGAACATGGTTGATTCTGGTCAAAAGGCCAAGTTTAAATTTATTACCTGAACTTGTTTTCTACTACCTAAGAATGCATTGAAACTAAAAGATAAAGGTAATTAAAAATGAATTCTCTTATTGTTGATTCCTGCTTTGTAGATACAAGGGTGTTCGTGGGTAAAGCTATGAGAAAAAAAAAACAAAGAGGAGAATATTGACTTTAGCATGTTAGATTCTTACTGCTTTATCTAGGAAGCTTGTTTCCTTCTCTCTGGAGACTATTTAACCTGATTCCTATGCACACATGGCCTTGGCTAACCATGGCAGAGCCTGTCTGCTTACAGAAATGGAAGGTGCTGAGAAGTGCAGCTGCCCTGGCAAGTGGGTTTAGAGAATATGTTTTCTTCTGGGAACCTCTAACTAGAACTCAAAACATAACACAAATTCCTCCACTATTTGGTTGTGGATAAGATATCCAGGCTATAGGGAATCATAGAAGTAAGGGAAGCCTCATTCATAAGGACCCTTTGGGTGAGGACTCTGTAAGGTCTTCAGTTGGAGCACATGTCTGTGTGGTCTGAGAAGAAACCTGGTCACTATTAAGGTTATGGAAGAAATTTCTGTTTATCCCATTTGGAGAATACTGCTATACATATCAGCTTTCAATTAAAAATGGGGAGGTAAACTGAGTATATTAAAATAGCATACAGTATGGATAAGGCTGCATTTTTCTACATATAAACTACATACTATTAAATATTCTGGATTCCAGCCAGTGGTGGTGCACGCCTGTTATAGAATTTTATTTTAACTAAGCAAAGATGTGTTACATTTGCTTATGCTGTGAAACTTTATTTTAACTCTGTAAAGGTGTGTTAGTTTTGTTTATGCTGCATTTGTTTAATTATGTAAAGATGTGTTGCGTTTGTTTCACCTTACCTGCCTAAGGAACCTGACTGGTATAATAATAAGCTGAAGAGCCAATAGCTTAGGCAGGAGAGGGATAGGCCAGGTTGGCAGGCAGAGAGAATAGGAATCCTGATCTAGGCTTGGAAAAGGAATGAGAGAAGAAGAGGAGAAGGAGAAGAAAGGAGAGAATGAGGGGCAGGCCTAGGGCCAAAAGCCAGGTATCCTCCAGCCAACAGACATGAGAAGCAGTAAAAGTAAAATATATACAAGGAAATAAAAAGTAAGAAGCACCGAGGCAGAAGGTTGATAGAGAAACAGGTTAACTTAAGTGAAAAGATCTAACCAGAAATGAGGCTAAGCTAGGCAGAACATTCAAAACTAAGTCTCTGTGTCATGACTAGGGAGCTGCTTGTGGCCAAAAAAGAAAGAAAAAAGAAAAAAAATAGCCTTGGGAGGCAGAAGTAGGCTGATCACTGTGAGTTTGAGGCCAGCACGGTCTACAAAGAGAGTTCTAGGAGAGCTAACACTATAGAGAGAAACCCTGTCTCAAAAAACAAAACAAACAAACAAACAATAGTTTCTGGAAATCTGGGATTCTGATTTCATGTGTCGTGTTTACTAATTGTAGAACAGTAGAAACTGTAGCAGTTTCAAATTCCCATCCAGTTAAATATTCTTATTTCACCACTGAGGAAGGTATCTGGAGACCTATGAGTAAATGAGGGCTGCTTATGACAGTGACATTTCTTGTATTTCAAAAAACAAAAAAGAAGAATTCTCAGGAGTAGAGTATAGCCATAATAGGGTTATATACCCTCACTTTGAGACGTGTCAGGCTTAGGTGATCTCATCCATACTGACACAGCAAAGTGTATGTAGAGACAATGAAGAAAAAATTGGGGGCACAATCGAGCCACTATGTAGGGAGAGATTCAAAAGATTGGGATATTGTTGTAGGAAGGCTGCTTGGGCGTTCTGTCTGCTCGGCAGTTCAGACCCAAAACAATTGCACAGAAACTGTATTAATTAAAACACTGCTTAGCCCATTAGCTCTAGCTTCTTATTGGCTAACTCTTAATTCTTAATTTAACTCATATTAATCTGTGTATTGCCACAAGGCTGTGGCTTACCACCAAAGTTTCAGAATGTCTGTCTCTGGCGGCTTCCTGGCTTCTCTTTGACTCTGCCTACTCTTTTAGTTTTTCCCATGTAAATCTTTCTGCCCTGTTCTGCTATGTGCTCAAAGCAGTTTCTTTATTAACCAATGGTATTTGCAGCATACAGAGGGATATTTATTTAGGAAAGGTAAAAAATAAAAGAAGATTAGATAAACAGAATAAAGAAAACTATCTGGGAACCCCAACTATAATCAGGGGCATGCCATAATTATCAAGGCAACATACAGTAGATATGTCAGAAAATTAATCTTTTAGGACATTATAAATAACGCCTGCAGTAGAAACTTTAAAATGAGCAAGATACACACAGGTTAGAAATCATCTCAGCATTTTATCAGCATTATAGCTGATAAAAGCTTCTGCCACCACATTCAACTATTTTTGCTTTTTATATATTAACTGCGGGTACACACACACAGAGAGTTGAATTTGGTTTGGATTCAATTATAACTGATAGAAAATTAATGTTGCATATAACCTCTAAGACTGTCTAATAGATGCTTCGTATGAAACTATATAATATCTAGAGCTTACAGCTAAGAACTATATCTGCTGGAGATGTCTTTAATACTGTAAACCATTTAACACATGAACACTACAGAATGCTACTGCAAAATACATGGCACTCTTTAATTTTCACACCTTTTCCTTTTCTTCTGCCTAGCTAATTATTAATTCATAGCAGTTTTATGTTCAATAAGAATGTGTGTACAGTGACTGGATGTTAATAATGTGTTCTCCCTTAATGTATAATACTTTATTGCTCTTCTTCCACTTGAGTGATCTTCATTTTGTGTACTTGTGAACTTTCCTGCTTTCTGTTCAGAAAGATTTAATTTTCCTCTCATCCTCCTCTAAGAATGTACAATCTTTACAATTCCTAGTCACAAATGTATAGGCTGTATAGACAGTTATATGCAGAAACCCTGGTGTTGAAAACACCCTAATATTCTCATTGCCTGATGATTTTATATAGAAGTCTCAACTATAAAACATTTCTAAATCATAATGAATTGTAAAAACTTATGCAAATTTTTACATCAAAACCCTGTTTGATTCCATTGAGATCGGTGATTATGCTCTACTAAGTTTATTGTTACATTTATAGCTTGAGTTTTTATTTTCTTCATTACAGATTTCTGTTCATTCTTCTGGGACCCCTTGGAAAGGGTCAACAATACCATGAGATCGGCAGATCAATTGCAACCTTAATGACAGATGAGGTATTTATTCGTGTTTCTAAGGAATATTCTCATAAGATATACCTAGGTTTAGAAGTCCCTTTCTTGACAGTTTTCTGGAAATCATATTTTTCGGTATTGGATCCAATTTTCCCAAGTTTTCACTACCAACTTTCCTTGAAAAAAATTACCCAAAAGGATAAATTAAAGCCAAAAATAATTTTTAAAGCTGATATGGTCATAAAAATTGTTAAGCATTTATATTTGTACTACTCTGTAAGCATGACTTATATGTTAATAGCATAGAAAATTTGGGGGGGAAATTACTTAGCTGTCTAAATGAAAAGTAGTAGTTAAGATACATAGGATATATAACACCAAAAAAGCTAGGAAAACTCTGCACACTCTCTGCAATTACCTGATATTTCTATATTTATATCTATATCTACCTATTTATATATATAGAGAGACATCTAGATATCTAAATATCTATAGATAGATATTCCTAACTTTGTGATTTTAAAACTATTAATGGAACTGTAGATGGATTTTGCTGATCAACATTATACAAATATATTTCTTTGTAAAAGAAAAAAATTGTACATTTCCATTTTGAATTATAAAAAACTTTCATGGGAAGATGTTAAGTCTCAAAAATGTAAGATTTTAAAAACCTGAACCCCTGATACCACAACAACATATGTGGTCAAACAAGATATGAACTAGAACACCAATAAACATGCTAACATGAAGGATGGTAATCTTAGGGGCCCCTATCCTTTGGCAAACAACAGCTAGCAACAACTATCTGGAGAGGGAGAGAGAAAGAGAGAGAGACAGAGAGACAGAGAGAGAGAATGAGAGAGAGAAAGATATATGTATATATGAGAGAGAGAGAAAGGGAGAGAGAAAGAGATAGTTTTTCTCAGGGCTGACCTTAGCTATCTAATACCAAGTGGTCAATCCTGAAAATGTACACACAGGCAACACAAAATAGACTCAGCAAATTATATTAATATATTTATATATGTAACAATAATAATCTTTAAAGGGGGGCTGTGAATTTGAGAGGAACATGAAGAAGGAGTTGGAGAGGAGATGGAGAATGTACAGGGTATTGGTCTATCACAAAAGAATTAGACAGACTTGGGAAACAAATGGAAGAGTTTGAATATGGAACTGAACCCCAAGTCACCCTTAACTCATCCTTGACTCCTCAGTTTCATATCCACATCCAATCTATAAGTAACCCTTTCAGACTCAGACACAGCATGATAAAATGGATCTATTTGGATTCTTCTTCATGAAGCCATCCAGTTTGACCAGTACCATTTTTTGACAATGTTATCTTTTTTCAGTTTGTATTTCTGTTTTTTTTAATCAAAAATCATATATCCATAGGTATGTGGATTTATGTCTATGTTTTTAATTCCATTGATAAAAATATATTTTTTGTCAATACCATCCTGTTTTTATTATAATAGCTAGTATACACCTTGAAATCGGGGATGATGATACCCATTCCTGGACACACACACACATACATGATTCATTGATTATTCAGGTTTGTTCAGCTATCCTAGGTGTTTTGGTTGCCATATGAAACTGAATTTTTCCTTTCAAGGTCTGTGAACAATAGTGTTGTAATTTTGATGGGCATTGCATTGAATCTGTAGGTTGCTTTTGCTAAGATGGACATTTTTATTATATGAATTCTTCTGGTGTCTTTTATAGGTTATTATGTGCTACTCTTTTTCTTCCACAGGTTTTTCACGATGTTGCTTACAAAGCTAAAGACCGCAATGACTTGGTGTCAGGTATCGATGAGTTTCTGGACCAAGTCACAGTTCTCCCTCCTGGAGAATGGGATCCAAGTATCCGGATAGAACCTCCCAAAAATGTTCCTTCCCAGGTAGGTATATCTGAAAACATTCTTTTAAATTCTAATATTTTGATTTCCTTTAAGTTCATGTCCCTAAATAATGCAACTCGCCGTAAAGTATCAAATTATTTATGTTATTCCAAGAAAGCAAAAACATTAATTTACAAAATGTTCTTGTTAAGACCTAACACATTGAGAAATTTGGCATTTTGATCATGAGCCACTAAATAGGTCTAATGTTCCTGGAAATATTTCAGGCCTGACACAAAAGATATTGCATTGGGGTAATACTAAATTTAATAACAGCATAAAATATGACCTGGAATAAAGCCCATTATTTTCAGTGTTCTGAAAGTTGACAAGGATTAGGAAAATTAGAAGAAGGATTTTGTACAAACTCCCTATCACTGGTAATCTCAGTGGAAACTGGGAAAAGTTTTTCATCATGATCTTTATGCTTATATCCTTCTATGTATTGTATAATTGTTTTAATTCTGTATATGCAAATCAAATATGTGTCTTACCTATCCTATATTACGGAAGAAATAATAAAGATTGTTGTTAATGTCTAGGGTGTGAGTGTTGAAAACGATGGCAAAGCTCTCTTCTCATATTGCCTCTCTCTTCCTGGGGGATCTGCCTCCCACATTCTTCACATTGCCTTCGGCTCTTTGTTCTGCAGAGTCTGACTTTGTCTGACTCTGATGTTCTGACTGAAGTGAGAAATATGTCTATTGACCCAATCCTGGACTTAGATTTTCAGGACAGTTAGAAGTTGACAAACTGAAGTCCAGTGGTGGTGGCGTACTCTTAATTCCAGCACTTGGAAGGCAGAGGCAGGTGGATCTCTGTGAGTTTGAGGCCAGCTGGTCTACAGACGAGTTCTAGGATAGCAAGGGATATACAGAGAAACCCTGTCTCAAAAACAAAAACAAACAGAAAACAAAAAGTCGGCAAACTGGCAAATATATTACTTAATGATGACTATATTTTAAAAAAAGGTCATGTCAACTCCTCTTATTAATATCTCAGGCTTGTGTTTTTATTTGAAGTCATTCTACCATTACTAAAGTCTATATTCTTTCCTTAACAACTACCATTTTGTAGTTATGTAACTAAAACCATATAATTTAAGTTCCTCTGCTACTGAAGTGAAGACAGTGGCTTTGAGAGTGATTGTAAGGGTTTCCTTATTTCTCCACACATGCACATCTCTGCACTGATGATATTAGAAATGGCAACATGATGGTTTGTAAAAATAGAAAAACCTCTAACTAATGATATTTGGGTAAATTTAATGAAACTATTAAAATATTGAGAGTAACACTTTGTAATTCACTGCAACACCAATTAATCTTGAAAAGTTACAAGTAAATTCATTTTAAACTATTCTGGTTTTGAGGAATGGCAGTTTTGAGACAAGATGAGTAGCGGGTTTATATTTCCTATTATTTTTATGCAAAAATAAGAACTAGCAAATTCTGGGTATTAGGAGAAAGTAATACATAAATAGAACATTGAATTAGGGATTCTAGTGTCTAGGTTCTGTTATTGTGTGTTTGTTTGACCTTGAATAAATGCTTTATCCTCTCAGTACTGATGCTTTGTTTCAGAAATGCTTAGTAGAATTTCTTTAACAAAGGAAACATTTTATAGTGACACCCCTAATCACCAAGCTACTATCAAATGCTAATAATGTGGCTATTATGATTTTAACTAATCGAATTTTGATTATAATTAACTTAAATTTGTATAGACACATGGTTAAAAATCTATCATATTAGATAGCAAGATTTTATCCAATGAGTATGAATTATATATATATATATGTTGTATACTTCTTTGTTATATGAGTATTTTAATACTCCATGCTATATCTAAATACTAGATCATATGAGTTATGTTTTTTTTATTAAGGGACCAAAATGAATTAGCATATATTAAGCACCTTGAATTCACACTCATTTAAATAATGTTAACCTCATCAAATAATTTCTGTTGTTTTCATTCTTTTGAAATGTACAGATGACAGCATTTTTAATACATTTCCCTTTCAGTTAAAAAAAGGAACAACCTGTCATCTCAAGAGATCAGTCTGAAATTCTGTCTTTATCCTCCTATGTCAGTCATTGTAATCACTTTCTTCTATGTTCCTGCATCTTCTTTGTTCTTTTAATGTCATGTACTTGGTTGTCAAAATCACAACTCTGTGGGGATTCAAATTTTACTATATACCAATGCTGTTGCAGCCAAAGCAGAAGGGGAAACTATGACTTCTTTGACTTAGTGATATTAGGGCTCAAATGAGCCCTTCATGCGCCATGTTCATTATCCCATCCCTCCCAAGGCTAGTCATACTTTTTAAGTGACCATTTCACATCTGTTCTCTCTCAAATTCTTAGCATGCCCTCTGTGCTACATGGTTCCTGTTTCTCAGTTTTATTAAAATTTTGAAACAATCAGAAATATCTTCTGTGGATACTGACTAGCACGTTCCTCTGACAGCTCAGCCTTCCCTGCCTCACTGATGGAAGCCAGCATTCCAGTTGTGTGCCAGATCCCACTCTAAGCATCTACTCAAGGATCTGCTCTGTCAAAGCCCTTTCCCTTTTATTATGTCAGTCCTATGGCCTCTTATGTCATTTTATTAGCATACTTCCAATCTTTTAATGTATAATTGCTTTGAAATTGTTACTATTATCAGTTATGTATTTTGTATGTTGTAGAGGAGTTATCTATACTATACGTCTCTACCAGCTTTTCTCCACTTCTCCGGAAATACCTGTCACCATAGGCTCCCTCTCCACTTTAATGCACTAACTAATTATTTCCACTAGTGCCATCCACAATGACTAAAATCTGTGGGAACCTATTGGTCTATATTGCACTTAATTCAGGAATAGCGACATTTGATAGACTTTGTTATGCCCTTATCTTTGGTGTACTTTCTTTGCTTAGGTCCTAAACAATAGTCTTTTGATGTTTCTGCAGCCTTTGGGGTCAGTCCTAATCAGTTTTTGTGTAGGAGGAGGCTGCTACTTAGTTCCCAGCTGCTCAGCCCCCAAATAACCATACAAAAACTATATTAATTAAAACATTGCTTGGCCCATTAGCTCTAGCTTCTTATTGGCTAACTCTTATATTAATTTAACTCATTTCTATTAATCTGTATATTGCCACATGGCAGTGGCTTACCAGCAAACATTTGGCATGTCTGACTCTGGGGACAGAACAATGGCGTCCCACTCTCCGCCTTCCCTTTCCCAGCATTCAGTCCAGTTTTCTCCACCTACCTAAGTTCTGCCCTATCAATAGGCCAAGGCAGTTTCTTTATTCATTAATAGCAATCACAGCACACAGAGGGGACTCCTACATCATTTTTGTTTTCTGGTTCTTCCATTTCTCTATGATTTCCTTGTGTTGAAACTACCACTTTGACCATAACCATCTTCTCTCTAATCACAGTTCCTGCTGTTTATACTTATATTCTTAGTAATATAAACAAATCTTAAGATTTTAAACCTTTTTCCAAAGTTCCAAACTTATTATCTAAACTGAACTCAAGTGTCGTTCATCTTCCTATCTTATGTCTCCATTTAAATATTTGATAGACATTTAAACTGAACATTTTGAAAGTTTAAGCCAAATTGTGTATAGACTCATTTCTTTATCTTTCTCTATTTTTTAATTACAGTTTTAGGACAAGCAGCATATGATCTGTTTCCAGGAATATCTAAAGGTCTCTGAGTTTTTCTCAAAATTAATTATAGTTGTATCTTTCATTCTTAGTTAATAGCTAAATACATTTTTATAATTGATCAGGCCTAATCGATCCATTATTTCATCTTATACCTTATATCCATTCTTCCAGAGAATTCTGTTGATTTTGCCTTCAATATTTATCAATACTTATACTATTTCTCACTGTGGCTGTCTTGATTCAACCCTTTATCACCTTTCTCATGGATTTCTGAAATAGCTCCCCAACTGGTTGCTTTGTTTTGTGTCCTAGATTCTCTCCTCAACATCACAGCCAAAGTAATTCCACGTTTTGTTCAATCATTTCTGTCTTTAAAACCTTGTGAATATTTTTCATTTTCTGGAGAATAAAGCCAGAGAGATATAATTATTATCATATAGATAATACTGTCTTATTAAATCTCTATATCATCACCTCTCTTTTCTTGTGGAACTTTATCTATACTCTTTTCTTAGTTCCTGGTGATCTTCAAACCTTCCAGGCATTCTGACCCTCAAGTCTATAGCCCTGGCTGGTCTTTCTTCCTTGGTATCCTCCAATTATTTGGCATGCCTGTTTCTCTCACCTGCCTCGAGTTTTCTTAAGTGGTACTTTCCACAAGGCCTATTTGAAAACTCAGTTTATAATTGCCACTCTTGCCTTCCCTTACAGTTACCTCAGTCAACTGGTGTTCTGTGCAAACGTTTTTCTTTTCCGTGGACCTCCTTCTTTCTACATACTATAGAGTTAAATATTTAATTTTTTTAAATTTCTGTATTTCCTGTGAGAATATATACTCTACAAGCCTTAGAAGTCTTTCACACACACACACACACACACACACACACACACAAAATACATGTTCATGCCAGGACTAAAATGGGTTCTATTTCTTCCTTTTTTAAAAAAATACTATTTTACCTATCAATTTTAGTTCCCTCTCTTTCCTTCTTCCTGCTCCTCCTATCTTCTACCCACTACATCCCTATCCATTCCTCTCAGAGAGGGTGAGGCCTCCCATGGGGAGTCAACAAAGTCTGTCACAACACTTGAGGCAGGACCAAGGCTCTTCCCCTTGTTTCTAGGCTGAGCAAGGTATCCCTCCTTAGGAATGGGTTCCAAAGAGCCAGTTCATGCACTGGGAATAAATACTGGTTCCACTGTCAGTGGCCCCACAAACTTCCCAAGCCACATTCAGAGGGCCCAATTCTGTCTTATGCAGGTTCCCCAGTCTGGAGTCAATGAGCTCCCATTTGCTAGGGTCAGTTGTTTCTGTGGCTATCCCTGTCATGACCTTGACCCCTTTGCTCATAATATTGCTCCTCCCTCTCTATGACTAGACTCAGGAGTTCAATCCAGTGCTTAGCTGTGGATCTCTGCATCTGCTTCCATCAGTTACTGAATGGAGGTTCTATGATGGCAATTAAGGTAGTCATCAGTCTGATTACAGGGGAAGAGCAGTTAAAGTAACCATTCCACTATTACATAGATTCTTAACAAGGGTTATTCTTATGGATTCCTGAGAATTTTCCTAGTACCTGGTTTCTCACTAATCCCATAATGGCTCCCTCTTTCAAGGTACCCCTTTCCTTATTCTCCCTCACTGTCCTTCACCTAACTTGACCTTCTGGATTCCTCAGGTTCTTTTCCTCCCTCCCCTTCTTATCACTCTACTCCCCTTCCACTCTCCCTTCCATGTTGTCAATTTACTAAGGAGATCTTGTCTACTTCCCCTTTTCTGGTGGATCCATATATCTCCCTCTTAATGTTCTACTTTTTCTATTTCTTAAGAATTTTTATTGATTTTAATTATTCACATTACATTTCTCAATGCATTTTACTCCTTGAGAAAACACGTGCTTTAGAATGGTTAATATATTAATTGCTTATCTATTTTATCAACATATGGCTCTTTAAACTTACAAAGCAAAAGTTAAATTATCCAAAGGGTATTATCCCACAAATGACCAGATAATATCACATGTTTTCTGAGAACAATAGAAGTTATAACATGTTTCCCTAGGTAATTGGAAGTATGTAGTGATGGCCACTCTTAGATCATTTTTATAAATGTCTTATAATTACCTATGAAGACAAACCCCTCATCAGTTGAAATATATCTTCTCTTTTATCTTTAAATTTTATTCTAGTGCATCTTAACATACACCTGTAGAAATGGTAGAAATGCTAAATAATGAACTTTTGTAATTGTGCTTAACACACAAAATACATTTTGTCATGTGTGGAACATATATCATTGTGCATAAGATACACTAACGTATCACTTTTGTGCTTCACATTCATACTCATTCTTGTTTGGAATGACAGTCAAGGAGAAAATTTAATTATGCAACTTAAACATTCTTTATTATTCTTTTAAGCACTTTAAAGTAATAATATGACCAGTGGTAGAATTTTAGGAAATATTTTCTGATTTATTTCAAATATCTCTGTCGGTGACAAAAGTAAGTGGAATTAATCTGAAGGAATATAACACTCACATTAACCTCAGTTGATTTGCCTTTTGTTCAAGAAGAAACTTCCTTTTGTAATAGTATTGTGTTTATGAGTCATGAAGACTTATTGCATAAATTTCCCTTTCTAGAAAGACATGATCTAGAGGAATAAAGGCAATAATACTTAAAAATAGAAAATTATACATACTTTTTTCCCTTCTCTTTCTTTTATGGTAGAAATTAAATCCGGGCCTTAAGACATGATAGACAATCATATTTCCAGTGAGCTGTATGTACCTCAGCCCTTGAACACTGACATTTTCCGTGTATTTTTGCAACTGCAGATAGATATCAATGTACGACACCAACTAGGGCACCCAAAAACTGGTAGGTGTAAGAAATAAAAATGCCCATCACTCATCAAGTTAAACCATATTATAAAATAGGAACTGTTGTCATCCCCAGTGATGAGGAAGAATAAAAGCTTTAGGGCATTGGATGAATTTTCACAGAACCTGTCATCTTAGCCCTTCTACACATGACTTTACTGGAGAAAAAAAGGAGTTTTTGTCATTAATGTCTGGCATTGCAACAAAATATGCACCAACAAAAACTTCCCTGCAGGAGAAGAGGAAGATTCCTGCTGTGCCGAATGGAACAGCAGCTCATGGAGAAGCTGAGCCCCACGGAGGACATAGTGGACCTGAGCTCCAGCGAACCGGAAGGTTAGTGGGAACCACTTGTATGGGACTCAAATGTGTGTCATTATCTGGCAGGAATTGTTGTTTCTAGACCTAATTTGTTTTATACTTTTAATAGCTACTCTTTGTTAGTGAAATGCCAATTAATTTGATTTCTCTGAAGTAATTGTCACTACTGTTAAAACAGAAAAGTGGCTACACAATTCCATCTTATCGTAGCCTCTCATTTTATGAAGCATAAAATACATTCACAGAGTCTTAGAATGAATCTAAGAAAATTGTCACTTGAACTTCCAAAACATCTTGTTGAAAGCTTCAAGTTCAAGATGGAAATAAAACTAAATACCAAGAATTAAGTCCTGTAGACCTTACCTCATTAGATACTAGTAGGGTATGTGTAATGGTAGTTTTATTGTTTACTATGCCTGTGATTTGAAAGAGCTATTATGATTTATTTTTCTAATCACACACCTTTGAAGAGATGAAAGCTTCAATTTATTTCATAAAATGTTTTTTATGGGTTTTTGACAGCTTGTCTTTCTGCAAGCAATATGTGAGGAGGAAATCAGAAACCCTTGGGTGGATGTCTCTTCGGGGAACTTGTGTGGACAGCCTCCCTAGAATTAAAGACATTGCCAAGGCTCTGTAGGAACGGTGGCCCTCCCCTCGGGCCATTTTCTGTACTGCTTGCAGTATGCCCACTGAGCTGATGTTTCTGTCCCTGACAACTCTGTATTTTAATTCTGTGTTTTCCCTTTATCGCCGTTTGTCTCTGAGGAAATGTCCTTTAGCATCTCCCTTGGCTTCGTACCTATTTTTAGATGGTTCAAGTTTCCCTTCTCCCTTCGCTGGAAGATCTGTTACTCATTCTGTTTGCTTTCATGCTTTCAAATACAGTCTTTTGATTTTTGGTGGTGGTATATTTTTTTTTCTTTTTCTCTCAGGTGTAACATGCCGCATAGCTTAGATTTTTTTTCGAGTTCACCTTCCTTACTGCTTCCTAAATCCTCCCAGGTCACCAATATCCGGTATCTTCGCTTCTCCAGAGTTCTTCCACAGATTCTGTTGCTGACATGACTTGAAGTGTCCATTATTCATCTGCTCTCCTGGAGTTGCTGGTGCACATCTGGGCTGCTCTTGCACTTTCTTCTGTAACGAACTCCCACTTCTGGATTTAGACTTTTACCGATAAAAGCACATTTATTACACAGCTATATAACAACTATTCAGATTAATGTATGAAATAATAAGTGAATAATTACAAAGCCATGGTTGAATATAAAATGCTATCAAAGCTATAAATATTACTTACTAATTAATAGTTCAAACTATCTCAAATTATTTTTAGAACTAGGTAGGATATAAATCATAAATGAATGCTAGTAGAATAAATCTACTCTGAACTGTGACTTTGACAAGGTAACATATTATTCAGAAATAGAAACTATTCAACATTAACATGCTCATGTTTTACCATATGAATTATGAGAAGTTTGTATATGTACACAGTCCATGTGTTCTCTGGAAGTGTCTCTGAGTTTCAAATGTCTCAGAATTTTATTTGTCTCCATCTTTTCTGGTTGAAGAAATCATTAGACAAACAATGATTTTTACACTCATATGTCATTAGATAGTTACTAATATACAATTATATCTCCATCAGATCAGAGGAATTAAAGGAAATAAAGGGCTCAGTGCTGAGCCTGACCACCCAAGTTATCCCCAGAACCCACATGGTACAAGGAGAGAACTGACTCTCTCAAATTGTCCTCTGACAAGTCACAGATATACCCAAAAAAAACTAAAAATGAAAAATTAGTTACTTTTAGTATAATTTCAAGGTCAAGTAAAGTTGGTTCTTATGTAAACCATAATTTTTAGGATAACACTGCAAAGAATAATTTTAAAATAACAAAAGTAATTTTATGATCCAAGAACATTCATTATAATATCAGAATTCTGGAACCTCACAGGTTTTGCTTTATTGCTCATTTGAGACAACGTTTTGCTGTATGTTCCAGACTGGCTTCAAACTCACAAATCTGCCTCCTGCCTCCTGCCTCTGGAGTGCTGAGCTTATTGTCATGTGCCATCCTCTCCAGCTTTAAAATGTATTTTTTAATTATTGACTTTCACATAGGAACAACATTTCAGTCTTACTTTAAGATCACATCTTTATTCCATGGAATAAAATGAACTTTTAATATCAAATACTAAATTTTAATGTTATCAAATATTCAAATAATGAGAATACCTACTTTAATATTTAACATTCTTATTCCTAATACAGTAAAGAACATTAGTGCTCAGATTTTAAAGATCAACTTACAATTTAAAGCTCTTGAACCCAAAACACAGCCCTTTGAAGTGTTTCAAAGTGTCATATTTGGAATAAGTGAATTATTTTCAGAAAAGGCCTTATTATCTTATAATTGATAAGTGTTAGAATGTGTGTTGACAATAGTACATCAAAATAACATTTATCTAGTTTTATATATTAGGTTAACCTCTTAGTTTTCTAAAACTAAAAACAACCTCAGAGTCTATATGTCTCTAATGAATGTTGTTATCCATATGCCCATTTAGATTTGGTTGTTCTCTTAGGCAAGGTTTTGTTGAGGCACGTTTTTCTTGGCAGAGGGACTAGGTGACTGGAGTCGTGATTGAATACGACTTTATTCTCTTTAAGGTGATTTTTACTACTAGCATTCACAAAGACCACGTGTCTCTGTCTCACTTTCTGCTATGCTAAATTAAGTGCAAAGTATTAGCAAACACTTCCATCGTTGACAGTGGGGATCTGAGTTTAGATGGTGTGGGTTAATAAAAAAAATGACAGACATTGGAATAACCCATGAATCTCATTTGAAATTTGATTGATGAATCCCTGGATCTTGAGAAAGCCTGATGTTTTTTAGTTGTAGGCACACTTTTCGGGGTAATGTAGTAGTGCAAAGCTATCCCTGTAAGTCATTATGGAGCAACGTGGTAGGCTGATATGGGTCTCATCTCTGCTGATGGAAATATTACTGTGACCGGGCAACAGAACAAGTGCACATTTTGACTTATGTGCTTTTTATCTTTGGGTTTCACTGTTGTGTTTTCCCCCATGTCTTAGGATTTTTGGGGGACTTATATTAGATATCAAAAGAAAAGCTCCATTCTTCTGGAGTGACTTCAGAGACGCTTTCAGCCTGCAGTGTTTAGCATCTTTCCTGTTTCTCTACTGTGCGTGCATGTCTCCGGTCATCACGTTTGGAGGACTGTTGGGAGAAGCAACTGAAGGTCGTATAGTATGTATTATGCTTTTCTCTGAACTTTGAATCTTAGTCTGTTTTTTTTTTTTTAAGATTTGTAGTTATGTAAGTGAGAATTGGAATTCGGGTATTGGGGATTTGATACACGGTCCAGCAAACAAATTTCCTATGAATATACTGGATGTCTAGTGGAGCTGGTGATCTGGGAAGAGAATATCTTAGAAACATTTATTTTGAGTCTTATACAAGGCTACGGACTGATGTCACATCTCTTGATCTAAAATTTTCCATCAGTTTTATATTAAATCCATTTTTCAAAAATCTTTGCCATGCTTCTGTTCAGACACTGATTATGACAACATTTAAATAATTCGTGAAGCGATAAAAGGTCTAGATCCTACTTCCCAGTTGCCATCACTGATCACTGATTTTCTACCCTCATGTGCCATTTTTTCAGCCTTATTTCCCATATTCCGTCTGCATTTGCTAGGCCTAACATTGTGAAGGGTGAAAATGTGAACCACCGTATCTGAAATGTTTGTATATATTACAATGTCTGCCTGTTTCGATGAGGGAATTCATGTTGTTTTACAGAGTGCAATCGAATCCCTGTTTGGAGCATCTATGACCGGGATAGCCTATTCTCTTTTTGGTGGACAGCCCCTTACCATATTAGGCAGTACAGGACCTGTTTTGGTGTTTGAAAAGATTTTGTTTAAATTTTGCAAGTAAGTATTATGACTCTTCTCTACTATATGCTTTTTCACTGCTGTTTTTTTTTTCTTCATCCAACATAAACATCACTTTTGGAGGTCTGTGGAGAGAAGTGAAATTGGCTGGTATGATTCAGTCTGTCATTTTTGTCTCTCAGTGGGAATGAAGGAAAAGTTAAAAGATTTGTGCATATATCATACATTCAATATTTATAATAAACGAGATTCAGTTTTAAGCACCAAGAAACCTCCATTAATTTGTTCCTTTGGATTTCTATATAGACAACATCTTGAACTCAGAGACTTGAGGGATGTGGATTTGCTCTCTTTTTCTTCCTAAATTGGGCTTACTTAAACTTATTTCAAAAGTAGCAAACTGCAAAATGACCTTCTTCCCACACTTTCCTCTTTCTCCTAGAGAATACGGGCTATCATACTTGTCTTTACGAGCCAGCATTGGGCTTTGGACTGCAACCCTGTGTATCATCCTGGTGGCCACTGATGCGAGTTCCCTTGTCTGCTACATCACTCGGTTTACTGAAGAAGCTTTTGCTTCTCTTATTTGCATCATCTTTATCTATGAAGCCCTGGAGAAGTTGTTTGAACTTAGTGAAGCCTATCCAATCAATATGCACAATGATTTGGAACTGCTGACGCAGTACTCGTAAGTCCAATTTTTGCTCTTGGCTGCCAGGCTCTTCTCACAAACATTGCTATTGTTTAAGAAATATGATGACCTTAGTCAGCATAGAGTGTGCCTTAAATCGATTCATGACCCTACGTCCTGGACTTTCAGAGCTGAATAGGATTTTAAGTCACCTAATCAGCTACACATCTGATTCTTGGGTTCTTGTTACAGCATCTCTGCCAAGAACATCGTTCTAAAACTCTGTTTGTCAAGTGTTTCATAAAATAAACACATAATTAACCAAGTCAATATAAATACAGATTGGTTTTGTTTTTCCAGACTGTATCATTTTGCTCTTCTTTTAAGTTCAGGTTTAAAGTAACTAAGTGAGAGATACTCCTCAATTCTAAGTTGTAGTAGTTTGATATTTGAAATTGTGATTTAAAACAGATGAAAACCAACACACTTAAGGTTTAATTTTGTTTTTGGATGTTTGTGATAAAGCTATTGAAGTATTTATTGTTGAAGGAGATACTACATCAAGACTGAAAATGAATTGCAGCTTTCTAATTTGGTATACTAAAAATCAGGAATTGTTGTAATAGTACTTTTATTTAATTTTAGGATTTTGTTCCACCGGAAGTTCATAGAGCAGATGTTTGAATTGATGGGCTCTTCATCAGGCACTTTAGCCTCTATTCTAGCCACCCGTTAGGTATAGCTCAGATACTGTAAATATTTCCTTATTTCTGGAAATCCATTGTCAAAATTACATAATAATAGTTTAATATTATAACTTTTAAAGAGTGAGAAAATGATTCATTTTTTTAAATGACATGGTTCTTAGTTTTTAACATTTCTTTGTTTTGTTTTTGGTCGTTGGAGAAAGCTTTAAACAAGATACCTCTATTTGGAAACAAGAAATTTCAAGATTTACATGTAGAATAATTTTCCAAATAAAAATAATATTGATGGTATTGTGAATAAGGCCATGAAGGAAATAGGTGGATGTCCTGGACATTCAGGAAGAAGCAGAAAAAAGTCACATTGCTAGAAGGCACATGTGGCAATAATAGGACAACTTGGAAGCATCTTTTTTCTATTTCTGGACATTAAACTCAGGTTGTCAGACTTGGTGTAAGCACCTTGACCTGCTAATACATGTCATTATCATGTTCATTGAACAGAAAGTAGAACTTTTGGATATCTCTGTTATGATACATAATTATCTCTGGTTGTAGTCTCAAACCAGTGATAATTTAAGTGCTAGTCATTATACTAGAAGCTAGTATAACCATAGTGAATAATATTCTTACCTCAAACACCTTATTATATAAGACAGAACATAGAAGAACATAATAAAAAGATGATTGTTGTGTTGAGATATTGGTACAGAATTTTAAGGTGCCACACCAAATGAATATCTCACTTTGATATGAACTTTGGGAAAGGTATTGAGGAGAAGGGTAGGGAAGTTGCTCACATAGAAATCATCATGCCCAGGATGTGGAGAGTCACTAAAGCTTTGAAACATTTTTTTTTTTTTTGAAACCAGATTGATAGTGGTAAAAGTCAGAAAAGTCACCCAGGTCTTACTAATGTGATACAGTTTAAGTACAATGTCAATAAACTGTCTGAGAGAGAAGATGTGGAACAAATAAAACAGGTAAAAGCTGTAATAGAAAGGCACCAACTGTTCTTGCAACTTCGGTAGGATTTTCTTAGGTATTTAAGCCGAAAAACACAGGTGAATATCCTTTCATATAGAGAGAAAAATCTTGAGAAGCAAGGACTGAGCCCCGGATAATGTAGCTAGCGTAAAGTTAAAGAAATGGAGATTTTTGTGGGCCTGGAGGTTTAAAAGGTAAGGCAAAAGTGATGACGGTTGTAGAATGTAAGGACAAGAATGTACCACAGATCTTTAGAGGAGAAAAGAGAGCCAACAAAATTAAGGTCAAGAACTTTTAAAAGATCATGATTAACTTTAAGAAACATGTTATATTGAGATGCAAGAATGAGAAGCCATTTAAGCAGAAATTAAGAAAAGTGAAGGTGGCTGAGGAATGGAGAATGTGTACCTAGGCTATCTTAGGGTCAAGGAAAGTTGACAACAAGCCTGTTGGATACGGCAGTGAGATCATTGGAAGGTCAATTTATGATCTAAAAGAATCACTTTGAAATGAGGCCTGAAAGCAGAGAGAAGGAAGTCACAGAGATGTCAGAGACAGAGTGAATAACTCAGAGTTAGAGCTCACAAGGTGCCGAAAAACAAGAGCTAGACATGTGATACCATTAAATAAAACTAATGGCACAGGGGGACCTGGGAGCAAGAGTTGCTCCCACAAGCCTTGCTGAGCATGGTGACAAGGGGCCTAGGTCCTGATTTTTTTTTTTTTTTGTTTCCACTTCTGCTTCTGAAAAAACAAAACAAATCTTCCTTAATTATGAGCTTTTGACTAGTCTACACACTGTTAAGTTTCATATGGAATTTTCAAAGAGAATTTGTTTTGTTGATTTTCCTCCTCACTCTTCTCCACTACCCTCCTGTTCCGTCCCTTTGCCTCCTTCCATGCATTGGGTTCCATTGCCCTCCTCCATTCCTTTAACACCCCTGTTTTACCCCCTCCAACTCAGGGGGGAACATTAGAAGCTAGGATCTCCATAGAGGAGAGAGCATTTAAAAGGATCTTTGCCCTTCCTTCATTTCAACCCTTCCATTCCCCCAAGCTCTCCCATCTTTTCCTTCTCCCTTTTCTCTCCCCCTCTCCCCTTCTCCCCACCTCACCCCCACCCCCATACTCCCAACTTTTGCCAGGCGATCTTATCTGCTTCCAATTTCCAGGAGGATCTATATTATGTTTTTCTTTGGGTTCTCCTTATTATTTGGCTTCTCTAGGCTTGTGAACTACAGGCTCAATGTGCTTTGTTGATGGCTAGAATCCACTAAAGAGTGCATGTATTGGCTTTTTGGGATCATAGTCTATTTGGATGTGCACCTTCCTAGGCCTGGATGGAGTGGGAGGGCCTTGGATTTCCCACAGGGCAGGGCACCCTGCCTTCTCTTAAGACTGGAAGGGGAGGGTGGAGGGTGAGTCGGGGAGCGGGAGGGGGATGGGAGAAGGGGAAGAAGTAGAAATTTTTGAATGGAAAAATAAAATTAAAAAAATAGAAAAATAAAAGGATCTTCACAATTTCCGTTTTCCTTGGAGGGCACAGGCTGCGGTCACTTGCTGTGTGACCACTAAGCATGAAATGTGTGTTGTTCTTTGTGCCCATTGTCCACTCACACATACCTCTTCACCAAAGTTAAGGAGGTAGAAAGGCTGATTCGGAATGATGGACAGTGACGTTTTACTGTCAGTGGCACCTGAAATGAGAATTGCAGAAACTGGATGTCAGTCGCCTTGGGCACAGACCTGACCGCGTGCTGGCACTGTCCAGCGTCCTTATTTATTTTTACATGGTGATTGCTTGCCAAGTGTCCTCCAATTTAATATACACACCCATTAAACAGCTCTAAATTCTACCATCAGAATTAATTTTATTAATTGAACAGTTTTATTTTTTTATAAATACATGAATTTTATCAGGTATTGCCATGACTTGCTTTCTAAAAAAGAAAAAAAAATCAAACTTTTTTGTTATACATCATATGCTTTTTAGTTATCTGTCCTAAAGAAAATTTAAAAGCAGCTGCTAAGAATAGCTATTTTATTACAAGAATGTTTTGTATAATCTATCTGCTTCTATATGCCATTGTAGTGATTTTTTAAAGTCCTGTCATTAGTTTTTATGGCTCATTATACCAGTGCCCACCTAAAATTGTCTACATTTGGTATTGCTGGCTTCATGCTTTCATGAGTTTCATTTTAAAAGTTCCTAGAAAATGCTATGGCCTGGACACACTATATCTGAGGTTGTGATTTTTTTTTTTGCAAACTGAATGTTCCTGTAATTGCATATATGTTACAATATATATACCATATGTTGTATTCAGGAAGAAGATATTGGGAAAATGCCAGCATCATTAGGTTCTACATTTCATATATGCTTTGTATTTAGTCCTTCTATATTCAAATTTCATATACTATACCAACCAAATAACAAAATGTTCTTGATTTAAATAAACAATAACAAAAAATTTCTAGCTTTTCTGGCATCTCTACCTCACAATGTGGTAATATGTAGACCTTACACTTGAAAATACATGGTTCCCTTTTATTGTGCCAAGAGCAAGTGTCAAGATAATCTATTTAGTTTTGAGTATATTTTACACCAGTTGATCAAACTGAATATGTCACATTAACAATAAGTAATGAGTTTAAGGGAATCATCTTTATGTGGTAGCTTTAATTTTAAAGAAAGGCAAAGATAAAATGTTATCCTTGTGTAAGATGAAATGCTTCTTCAGTATGTAGTAAGATTCACAAGGTTGACTACTAAAATAATGTATGTACATGATAAGAAGGGAGAAAGAGGTCACCATGAATAAGGAAGGGAACTAGCCAGAGGGTGCTGGCAGTGGAGAGGATAATCCATGAGAACAACATATGGCACCTATACATGAAATGCCATAATCAAAGCCATACTTTGTATGCTAACCTAAAAAATCTAATTTTTAAAAAAGGCATACGTTATACTTTGCAAATATGTGAGTTCAAGCAAAATTTAGGGTCTATTACCTGAGTTTCTCATATATATGTAAGACAAGTTAAATTAAAAACATACTTTCCAGGTTTCCTTTTTAAAACTTGTTTTAAATTTATTTTTCTCCAATATATTACATCCCAACTTCAGTTTTCCCTCCCTCCTCACCTGCCAACCTCCTCCCCAAACACTCCTTCTCCTTTAACCTTCAGAAAAGGGCTGGCCTCTCAGGGACATCAAACAAACATGGTATATCAAGTTGCAATAAGACTAGGTACCTCCCCTCATATAATGCTAGATGAGGCAACCAAATAGGAGGAAAAGGGACCCAAAAACAAGCAAAAGAAACATAGACAGCCCCCAGTTCCCATATGCAAATGGCCTGAATC